AGAAAGGGAGGTAAAGAAAAAGGGGGAAGGAAAGAAAGAGAGAAAAAAAAAAAGAAAGAAAGGAAAGAGGAAGGAAAGAAGAGAACAGCAGAAGAGAAAAAAAGGGAAGGAAAGGAAAGAGATAGAGAGGAAGGAAGGAAGGAAGGAAGGGAGGGGGAGGAGGAAGGAGGAGAAGGAAAGAAGGGAGGGAGGGAGGAAGGAAGGAAGGAAGGAAGGAGGGAAAGAAGGAGAGAAAGAGGGAAGATTGGCCACAGCAACACGTGGCGGGTAAAGGTTGTTATTTCTATTATTATTATTATGCTATTATTATTCCTATGAGACCCTTTTAGGGGGAATGGGAGAGGTGTCAGGTCCCAGAGGCAATGCATTGCATTATTGTTATTGTTATGATGGTGGTGAAATAAAAGGAAATAAAAAGTGAAAGAAGGAAGCAAACAGGGAGGGAAGAAAGGCAAAGGAAGAAAGGGGGAGGGAATGAAGGAAAGAGAGAAGGATGAAACCAAGTAGTGAAAGAAAGAAAGAGGTAGAGAAGGAAGAAAGGAGAGAAAGGGGGAGGAAAAGGGGGAAGGAATAGGTAGGGACCTCTCTTTCATAATAGCCAAGATATCTACCTCAACTTTGATAAGTTTTACTATAGGCCACAGCAACGCGTGGCAGGGCACAGCTAGTATATTATATAGGATGGGAAGGGGCCACGCTTTGCTGTGGCCAACCTTCCCTCTTTCTCTCCTTCTTTCCCTCCTTCCTTCCCTCCCTCTTTCCTTCCTTCCTTCCCGTCTTTCCTTCTCTTCTTCCTTCTCTTCTATCTCTTTCCTTCCTTCCCCCTTTTTCTTTTTCTTCTGCTGTCTCTCTTTTCTTCCTTCTCTCTTTCCTTCTTTCCTTCCCTCCCTCTTTCTCTACATCTTCCCCCTTCCTTCGCTCCCTCTTTCCTTCTTTCCCTTTTTTCTTTCCTTCTCTCCTTCCTTCTCCAACTTTCCTTCCTTCCCCCTTTTTCTTTCCCTCCCTCTTTCTCTCCTTTCTTTCTTTTCTACCTCTTTCCTTCCATCCTTCTCTCTTTGCTTCCATGCTTCCTTCTCCCTTTCCTTCTTTCTTTCTTTCCCTCCCTCCCTCTTTCTTTTCTTTCTTTCTTTTTCTCCCCTTCCCTCCCTCCCTCTTTCTTTTCTTTCTTTCTTTCTTTTCTCCCCTTCCCTCCCTCTTTCCTCCCTTTTTTTCCTGTATTGTCATTTAGCTTTTCGTCATTTAGCTTTTGGGGGCTTTTTAAGTCCCTTCTGCTGTGTTTTTTTTTTTTTGAGTGAAGGACATACATTGGGTTGTTAGGTGTATTGTGTCCAAATTTGGTGTCAATTCCCCCAGTGGTTTTTGAGTTCTGTTAATCCCACAAACGAACATTACATTTTTATTTATATATATTATATATTATATATTATATATTATATATTATATATTATATATTATATATTATATATTATATATTATATATTTGCGCTGTCTAATTATGAACATGAGTTCTATACAGATATAGTTTTCCCTCGTTACTTTGCAGTTTGCTTTCTGCGGACTCGCTGTTTCGTGGGTTTTTGCCTCCCAGTTTATGAATGGTTGCCATTGCCGTTCTAATCCCGCCTCCTGGCAACGATGGAGTGTGGAAGGGGGTGTCACCCTCCCCCTCGGGAGAGAAACAGCCAGTCAAGAGAAATTGCAAAGCAAAGCAGAGATAACTGGCAAAAAAAGGTGTATTCATATATAGCGTCCCTCCTTTGCGGATTTTCACTTTTTGTGGGTAGTCCTGGAACGTAATACCCGCGATAAGTGAGGGAACACTATATATAACTGGATGGCCGTTCTGTTGTCTCCTTGCAGGGTCATGATGTTTGAAGACAAGGCCGGCGAAGGCACTGCCCCGAAGGCCCCCGGCCCCCCTCCGAAGAGGGACATCTCTACCCTGCCGTGAACCCCCTTCCTTTGGGAGAAAGACCCCCACTTGACCCCAGACCTTTTAGGAAGCCTGCCCTCCCTTACTAACTCTCTGCTTTAGCAAAGGAAGAAGGATCGAGAAGGGAAATTCCTGGGACCCCGGCCGGAGGGACCTCTTAGAAGTAGCCGTTTTAAATATATGCATATATATATATATATATATATATATATATATATATATATCATATAAACATATATTATACACATATCTATCTATTTAAGCACTGTCTGTATAGCCGGCCGTGTCTCTGAAATGGGCCTGGGTTCTCTTTGCAAACAAAATGTCATCCTTTTGTAAATCATTAATGACTTTAAATAATTATAATCTATATCTTCTAAATCTATATCTAGGATGGTTTTAAATGGGGTATTTTACTATTTGATAAATTGTTTTTTAATGTTTATGTATTGTATTTGAATTTGTGTCCCGGCATTGAATGTTTGCCGTATATATGCTGAGTCCCCTTCGGGGTGAGAAAGGCGGAATAGAAATGTTTTAAATAAATAAATAATAAAAGAGAATGTTTGTATGTATGTGTGTATGTATGTGGCAGCTTTCTGATTGTCTGCCACTGTGGCGTGCACGAGCGACGGACCCGGACCAAACTTGTCACACGTGGGATGATGGGACTTGAAGTACCTTCACTCATTTCCTGAGACCGCTGTGACCCTCATACAATGACTGATCAAGACCTAACTTGGCACACAGAGCTCCCATGACCCACTTTTCATCCTGGTGCCATTTGGGGGAGGTGGACCATGGATTATGGGATTTGTAGTACTTTAAAACACTTGGGCAATATAAAGTTTTCTCCATTTTGTGCTCTGTGTAGGTTTTTACAATTTAAGCGGCTGAAGGGGAAAAGGAAGGGGCCTGAGGCTGTTAGGAATTGTGGGAGTTGAAATCCAAAACACCTGGAGGGCTTGAAATCGAGCAGGAATTTAGGAGGATCTCACCCTGGAGAGTGAGAGCCCACAGACCCAGCAAGGAGGGTCTCGCTACTTTGGTGAGCAAAAGAAAGAAGAAACCGCAAGATAATGAAAGGGTCTTTGAGTTAAATTTGCAATTGCTAAGCAAGGGGCTTTGAATGAAATTAACAGCAAAAGAGAAATATACCCTTTCTCTGTAGAAAAGGAGCAACACGGAAAAAAATGTTTTTGGGAAACAAGATGTGACATGTAGAGGTCATACAGAGATCAAGCCTACATAGGAAGTAGTTGTGTTGTGGTTAAGCCAAAGGTTGTGGTTAAGCACAGAGTCTGCAGGTACAAGAAGGAGGGGGGCTGGAAAGACAGTAATTTCAACCTATTACTTGAGTATAAAAGTCAGCAGAAACAGAGGAGGGGCGCGGCAGTCACTTGAAGGGTAACATCTGCGAATGCTGCCAGGCTGTCCGTCTTCTTCATGAAGAAACTAAAATGAACCTTGTTTTTTGATTATTATTTTTTTGGGACTGTCTCCTTCCTTACGTGCTCCTGTGATGTGGACCTAAGAAGACCCAATTTAGGGTCTCTAACAATAGAATTTCCCTATAGTTTCTAAATGAATCTCACCAAAGCTGAAGGAAGCTGAAGGAAGCGCCACCGAGTTGATTTTATTACGATCCAGCCTGAAAGAATGCAAAGCCGCGATATTTCGTCAGGCAAGCATACAATGAATACAAAATAAAGCCTTTTTATACATATACAGAGCTGTCAGATTTGAATCTCCTGCTCCCCGCCCCTCAGCCGGCTCGGTGCTGATTGGTTGGCGCTCTACAGCTGGGAGGAGGCTTGGTCGCCTCCGGAGTGCCTTAACCAATGGGTGAGCTCACGCCGCTTCAGTGTCCTAGCCAATCAGGAGAGAGGGAGGCGGGACGAGAGGGAAACAATGAGAACTTGAGTGGATTATGGAAATATGTGATGTCCATGTGGCCAGCTGACCGGCTATTGTGATGAGGGGTTGGTAATCAACATTGATGTCCGGCGAGATGGCCAGAATCTGGATTTTTCTTGAGCCGGGATATGGGGACAATGGAGCAATCTTGTCTGCAGTTTTGGTTGAGGGAAGATAACTGAGTAAACAGATCAGAACAAATTGTGGCTTTCTGAAGGCCCTTTGTCTGGTTGAGATATGCCAAGTGGGCACATCCCCTCGAGCGGGAGGGAGGGTCAGGCAAAGGTTACATTCATAGGGAGCTTGAAAAGGTAAAGTTTCCAAAAAGTTTCTAAGAGTCCTTCAGAAGGGAAAAACGTCCCATAAAAGTTCAAGAGAGTACATAAGTGTAAAGGGAGGCGTTTTCTCAGTAATAAATGTGTTACCTTCTGCTATATATGAAACATAGGGCATAAAACCTTGATTAAATGTACACACTATCTGACATGGGAAAGGGTCCTGCTGTTGTTGTTAGTGTCTTTGCAAATTGACCAACACTTGACCCCTATTATCCAGCCTGATGTCCTAGTCCTTAGCAAATCTATAAGTTACTATTTCTTATTGGGGGTGGGGGGTGGTGTGGTGGTCATGTTCGACTTCAGGCCCACGTTTGCCCGTGCCTAGTCTAAAGAAATCCAGAAGTAGAATGTATTGTCGAAGGCTTTCATGGCAGGAATCAACCTGGACACAGCATTTTATTTGAGAACACAGAAATGCTGGACCACTCTCACAACCACCATGTCAGACTACACAGAGAAGCCACTGAAATCCACAAACATGTGGACAATTTCAACAGAAAGGAGGAGACCATGAAAATGAACAAAGTCTAGTATTAAAAAAAACCTCTAAAATTACAATAGCACAACATCAGAGAGGAAACAAACAAGGACATCTAATCACGTCTCAACAAAAGTTTGCTCCAGGCACTGTCAGGCCATTATATGCTAATCAAGGTGGTCAGTTGAAACATTCACATCTAGCTCCAGCAGACAAGAGTCCTTTGTCCCACCCTGGTCATTCCACAGATATATAAACCCTTTTTCCTAGTTCCAACAGACCACACTACCTCTGAGGATGCTTGCCATAGATGCAGGCGAAACGTCAGGAGAGAATGCCTCTAGACCATGGCCATATAGCCCGAAAAAACCTACAACAACCCAATCCAGAGGTTGTCTAAGGTTTCATATCTCTATGGTCCCACACAACAATAACAAAAAAATGGCATAAGGGAACCAGAAGTCGATCTTGCAGTGAGGTGTCTAAAAGATTTATATCTCTTTGGCCTCCTGAGCCGGCGGGGCCGAGGAAAACGCCACGGTCCGCCTCCATTTCAGCTTCTCTAGGCTTCGAAAGCGGCTTTCTCTATGGGTAAGGTAAGAGAGAGGCGGCTGTTGGCCTAGAGCGCCACCAGAACCGGAAGCTTCGTCCTGGTTTCCTTTTTCCGGCCGAGGAGGTGAGGTGAGGTGAGGCGGCGACGCGGAAAGAAGGAGAGGGATGGGCGACGACATGGACGTGATTCCCGAGAGGGAAATGAAGGTGAGGCGGAGAGGAAGCGAAGGGAAAGCGAGGCGGAAGGGCTTCCTGAGGAAAAACTTGCTTTCGCCTTAGTCGACAGGGAAGAAGAAGGGCTGGAACTGTCGCTTGCCTGTTTCCAATACTTCGTGGTTGGATTATGATTATTATTATTATGATTATTACTAGCTGTCCCCTGCCAGGCATTGCTGTGGCCCAGTCTGGTGATCTGGAAAATAATGAGATAGTGTTTGTTTCTAATATACGTAATTCCTTTCTGCTTGTGAGTAAACACTATTTCTTGCTGTTTCTTTGTCAGTGTTGATGAAGAGAGTGTCTGGTTTGCCCATCCTGGAACATGCAACATATAATTGTCCTTCTTTAGGGGTCCCTTTCAAATCTATGATACTATATCTGTGTGTATGTGAGAGAATCATATCTAAAGGTAAAGGTAGTCCCCTGACATTAAGTCCAGTCATCTCCGATTCTGGGGTGTGGTGCTCATCTCCATTTCTAAGCCGAAGAGCCAGTGTTGTCCATAGACACCTCCAAGGTCATGTGGCCGGCATGACTGCATGGAGCGCTGTTACCTTCCCGCCGGAGCGATACTTATTGATCTACTCACATTTGCATGTTTTCGAACTGCTAGCTTGGCAGAAGCTAGGGCTGACAGCGGAAGCTCACGCCGCTCCCCGGAATCGAACCTGCGACCTTTCGATCAACAAGCTCAGCAGCTCAGTGCTTTGGGGGCTCCGAATCATATCTATCTATCTATCTATATTTATGACTGGATGGCTCTTTGTCAGGAGGGCTCCGATTACATTTTCTTGCCCTGGTGAAGAGAGTTGGACTGGATGGCCTTAAGTATTTTATATTGGTCATGGGGGTTCTGTGTGGGAAGTTTGCCCTGATCTGTCGTTTGTGGGGTTCAGAATGCTCTTTAATTGTAGTGTACTATAAATCCCAGTAACTACAAATCCCAAATGTCAAGGTCTATTTCCCTTAAAATCCATCTGTGTTGATATTTGGGCATATGGAATATTCGTGCCAAGTTTGGTCCAGATCCATCATTGTTTGAGTCCACAGTGCTCTCTGGATGTAGGTGAACTATAATTCCCAAACTCAAGGTCAATGTCCATCAAACCTTTCCAGTTTTTTCTGTTGGTCATGGGAGCACTGTGTGCTAAGTTTGGCCCAATTCCATCATTGGTGGAGTTCAGAATGCTCTTTGATTGTAGGTAAACTATAAATCCCAGCAATGACAATTCCCAAATGACAAAATGAATTTTTTTTGAGTGGAGGACATAAATTGGACTGTTAGGTGTCTTGTGTCCAAATTTGGTGTCAATTCCCCCAGTGGTTTTTGAGTTCTGATGGTAGCACGAACTAACATTACATTTTTATTTATATAGATTATATATAATTCTATATTGAGTAAATATATAACACAATATATTATTGTATCTTTCATTCAATACTTCATAGTTATTTTATTATAAATTACTATTATTATAAATTATTTGAAACACAACAAGATGAGTCATAGAATCATAGAGTTGGAAAAGACCTCATGGGCCATCCAGTCCAACCCCATTCTGCCCAGTGTGCCAATTATTATTATTATTATTATTATTATTATTATTATTATTATTATTATTATGTCCCTCCCACAAGGACAAAGTTTTTGCAGTTTAATCAACTTTGTTCATGTTTTTATGATAGAACCAAATAGGAGCATAACAGATGTTTCAGCGTTTTTCTCGTTGTATTGCAGGACTTCCAGTTCCGAGCCCTGAAGAAAGTGCGCCTCTTCGAAGCCCCCGAGGAGCTGCCCAAGGAGCGCTCCAGCCTCCTCGCCATCTCCAACAAATACGGCCTGGTCTTTGCCGGATGTGCGGCCGGGCTGCAGGTCTTCCAGACCAGGAACCTCCTGATGCAGATCCAGATGGGGGACTCGCCCAACAAAATAGGTAGATTTCCTCCCTGCTTCTCCCGGAAGCTGGGATTTGGCCTCAGACTGGCTCTGCGTTGACTGTATAATGCAGTTTGGTACATGGACCATATAATGTAGTGTAATGCACAATATGGGTCTACATTGGCCATTTATTGCAGTTCAGTGCACTAAATGTGCCTATGTTGTCTATTCAGTGCAGCTCAAGGCAAATCAGTGCATTATATGGATCCACATTGACCATATAAAATAATTCAGGGCACTTCAATGCATTAAATGGCTCTATATTGACCATGTAATGCAGTTGAAGGCAGTTGGATGCATTAAATGGATCTATATTGACCATATAATACAGTTCAAAACAGCCTCAGCAGCATTATATGTTTCTACACTGACCATATAATGCAGTTCAAGGCAGTTCACACTGCATTATATTAGTCTACACTGGCCATATAATTCCATTCAGTGCATTATATTTGTCTATCTTGACCACTATAATTCAGTTCAGTTCATTTTATGGGACTACATTGACCATGTAGTGCAGTTCAATGCACCATATGGGTCTACAGTGACTATTTATTGCAGCTCAATGCGTTACATTGGTCTACAATAACTATTGTAGGTCAATGCATTATGTGGGCCTACATTGACTATTGTAGTTCAGTACATTATGTGGGCCTACATTGACTATAATGCAGTTCAATGCATTATATGAGTCTACAATGACTATTTATTGGAATTTAATGCACCATATGGTTCTACAATGACTATTAATTGCAGTTCAATGCGTTATGTGGGTCTGCAATGACTATTAATTGCAGTTCAATGCGTTATGTGGGTCTGCAATGACTATTAATTGCAGTTCAATGCATTGTATAGGTCTGCAATGACTATTGCAGTTCAATGCACTGTATGGGTCTACAATGACTTTTTACTGCAGCTCAATGCATTATGTGAGTCTACAATGACTATAATGCAGTTCAAGGACATTCAATGCATGAAGTAGGTCTAAGAATTAAATTTGGCAGGTAAGAAATGCTATTGTTGTTGTTATAACATTTTTTTTGTCGTGTCAGGAGAGACTCCTGGTGTGAGAGAATTGGCCGTCTGCAAGGACGTTGCCCAGGGGACGCCTGGATGATTTGATGTTTTTATCATCCTTGTGGGAGGCTTCTCTCATGTCCCCGCATGAGGAGCTGGAGCTGATAGAGGGAGCTCATCCGCCTCTCCCCGGATTCGAACCTGCGACCTATCGGTCTTCAGGGGTTTAACCCACTACGCCACCGGGGGCTATAGTTATAACATTGACCATATAATACAGTTCAGGGATGTTCAGTACATTATATGGTTTTACAGTGGCCACGTTATTCAGTACAGTGCATTACATTTATTTTTATTTTATTTTACAGTATTTATATACCGCTTTTCTCACCCCTAGGGGGACTCAAATTGGCCACATAATGCTGTTAAGTGCAGTTCGAGCTGCCTTATATGGGCCTACACTGACCATCTCATTCACTTCAACCTGCATTATACAGTCAGTATAGAACCGGCCTAAGAGACTGATGATTCCCCAACGTTGCCATTTAATTTTTAATGACAAGTGTCTGCTGTTAATCAATGGTTGTTGATATTTCAGTTGAGAACGTCCAGGGCCTGTTTGTCCCCACCAAGTTCCGCGTCCATCACTTGGCCCTGAGCTGCGACAACCTAACCCTCTCGGTCTGCATGGCCTCCAACGAAGTTGGCTCCTTTATCGGCTTTTTTGATGTCCGCACCTTTGTGAATCAGGTAAGCCACTCCTCGTTTGCACCCCCACCCCCTAAAATGGTTTGCATTGAGGATGTGCAGGATGGTTTGTTAGATTCGATAGAAGAGGTAGGGAAATATAATGGATTGTGGCTTCCTTCTTTCTGGACAGGCCAAGCCGCAGAAGCGACCCTTTGCCTACCAGAAGATGGCAGCGGCCCTGGTCAGCGACCTGAAGTGGAACCCCATGAACGCCACCATGTTGGCCGTCTGCCTCTCCGACGGGAGCGTCTCCGTCCTGCAGGTGACCGATTCGGTCAAGGTGTTTGCCACACTCCCTGCCTCCGTGGCTGTTACGTCAGGTGGGTTTAATTAGCATTACTGATGTTACTGTTGTTAATATATTGTTATTGTTGTTATTACCACCCCACTTTTTCTCTCTAAAAAAAGAGATTCAATATAACATTCAATTGATTGTATTGGTCTACAATGACTATTTATTGCAGTTCAATGCATTATGTGGATCTCCAATGACTATTTATTGCTCTTTATTGCTATTACATTTATTATTAATATTAACTTTATTTGTACCCCGCTACCATCTCCCCAAAGGACTCGGTGTGGCTTACATGAGGCTGAGCCCAAACACAACAATACAAGCAATAAAACATCAATACAAGCAATTAAAAACATAGACAATAAAATACACAACATTATCAAAAAAAGCAACACATAATTAAAACAGTGGGAAGGCCAAATGTAGAGTTAAAATTGGAAATAATGCTGGGCATGAACGAAAGGTGAGACTGGTGTTTGTGGGGGCATACAAGCAGACTCGGGGAAATGTAAAGTGTTTTGGAGGACAAAGTGCTATGGGATCATTATTCCAGGAAGGCACACTGGAACAGCCATGTCTTCAAGCTCCTCCTGAAGACTGCCAGAGTTGGAGTTATGTAAATAGAGTTGGATAAATAGAGTTATTTTACTCTAATTATTATTATTATTATTATTATTATTATTATTATTATTATTATTATCACATTGACATTGTATTACTCTATCATTATTTTGTTACATTCAGTATTTTACTCTTTATTATTATATTTTCCTTTATTATTGTTATTATTACATTTATTATTTCACTCTTATTTATTTATTATTTATTTATTTACTTTGCTTATATACCGCTGTTCTCAGCCCAAGGCCGACTCACAGGTGTACAACATAGGAACAACAAAATTCAAGACATAGTATAAAAACAATTCTGGCCCCAGAATTATTATTATTATTACATCTGTTATTTTACTCTATTATAACTGTTATTATTACATTTACTATTTTACTCTATTATTATAACATGTATTATTTTACTCTATTATTTGAAACACAACAAGATGAGTTCACAGCAGACACTCTGCTGGCTGTTGAATTGGATCACACTTCGGACACTTCCCACTGTGTGATGTATCGGCAAATAATGCGTGCAGATCTCAGTAAGGTGGCCTTCTGCAGCTGGCAGATGGTAATTTTGTCAGCGCCGATTGTGTTTAAGTGCAGGCCAAGGTCTTGAGGCACTGCACCCAGTGTGCCGATCACCACTGGGACCCCCTTTACTGGCTTATGCCAGAATCTTTGTAGTTCGATCTTTAAATCCTCATATCGTGTCAGCTTTTCTAGCTGTTTCTCTTCAATCCTGCTGTCACCTGGGATTGCGACATTGACAATCCATACTTTGTTTTTTAACATGATTGTGAGGTCAGGAGTATTGTGCTCCAAAACTCTGTCTGTCTGAATCCGGAAGTCCCAGAGGAGTTTGGCGTGTTCATTCTCTTTAACTTTTTCCGGCTTGGGATCCCACCAGCTCTTTGTCGCAGGCAGATGGTCTTTGTGGCACAAGTTCCAATGAATCATCTGAGCAACGGTATTGTGCCTCTGTTTGTAGTCTGTCTACGCAATCTTCTTGCAGCAGCTGAGGATGTGATCTATTGTTTCAATAGATTACTCTATTATTATTATTATTATTATTATTATTATTATTATTATTATGACATTTACCTCTTCCGTTGCGCCTTTGATGAATAGGTACTCAATCCCACATTATCTCTCATGTGCAATATTATGTCATGTTCTGTCACTGGAGTGTATATTTCCCCTCTCGTGGGAAAGCTTGATTCCACAACTCCCACTATAATGAGCCCTCCTCCACAAATAATTTGTTTCTCTTTTTTCTCACCCGAGTTTTTTAACCAGTTTTAATTAGTTCTTCTTTTAACCATTACATGTGGCCCACCCATTGTCACTGTGCGTTATTGTAATTTTATATTGTTGTATATCCATATGTTTTATGTAATTATGATGTTGTTTATTGTTTGTGTTTTCAGTTTGCATTTGGTCGTTCTTTATTGTAATTGTTGTTCAGGATTGGCCCCATGTAAGCCGCTCCAAGTCCCCATTGGGGAGGTGGTGGCGGGGTACAAATAAAGATGATGATGATGATTATTATTATTATTTTACTCTATCATTATTTTGTTACATTTATTATTTTACTCTTTAATATTATATTTATTATTTTTGTTATTATTACATTTATTATTGCACTCTTATTATTATTATTACCTTTGTTATTTTCCTCTATTATAACTTATCACATTTCCATTATTTTACTCTATTATTATTTTTGCGACATTTATTATTTTACTCTCTTTATTATGATTAGAAGGATACATAAGCACATTTATATTGAGGGTGGTTAGAATAATGGTTAAATCAGAGTTGGACAGTTTTATATAAATATTCAAAAACATTGAACCTCTTGATGCCTCAGTTAATTTAATTTTTTGGTATCTATTTTTATTTTGAAATTGACCAGTAGCAGCTGCATTTCCCACCCTCAGTTTATACTCGAGTCAATTTATACTCGAGTTTTCTTTTGTGATAAAATTAGGTGCCTCAGCTTATATTGACAACTAAAAGAATGAAGACCTGGCAAAAATAATAAAATCCAATTTAAAACAAAAAATTCAAAGGCCATTTCAAAGCGGCTCACAGTACAACCAATGCCGTACAATTTAAAACCGAGGAGTATACAGACATTAAAATAGCAGGGCTTTAGAGCAGTGAAGAAATTCACAGGGTCTATCCAGGAAACCAATGGAATGATCAAAATGGCCTTCACAAGCCAAGTGCTGCTTATGTTGGGAGCTTTGAACAATATAATGTCTAAGGCAAGGGCAATTAAGTGACTCAAATGGAGACCTTTGCTTTGGAGCCTTGGGCTCTGACCTGCTTTTGCTTTTTGTTCTTCCTTTCAGTGTGTTGGAGCCCCAAAGGAAAGCAACTGGCAGTTGGCAAGCAGAACGGCACCGTGGTTCAGTATCTGCCTGTAAGTAGGGGAATGAACAAAATAAATATGAATACAGCATATTTTGAAGCATTGAATGGGTGTGAAAGGAAAAAGAGAGACATTATTATTATTATTATTATTATTATTATTATTATTATTATTATTTTGAATTAAAGCATCCTCTTTGCTGATTTTTTCAGAATCTTCAGGAGAAAAAAATCATTCCTTGCCCACCATTCTATGATTCGGATAATCCTGTCAAAGGTATGGCATTTTCTTGGAATTAGTGGCATTGCTACACGCTTAGATTGCAATATTTATCTGGCATATATTATTATTGTTATTGTTATTATTGTTATTTGAAACACAAGATTAGTACACAGCAAACAAGATCACTGTGCTGGTTGTTGTATTGGATCACATGTCGGACACTTCCCAATAATAATAATAATAATAATAATAATAATAATAATAATAATAATAATATAATAATAATATAATAATAATAATAATAATAATAATAATAATAATAATAATAATAATAATAAAAGACAAAAGCTTATTTCTGATGCTTGGTTTCCCTTTCCAGTCCTTGATATCTTGTGGATTGGGACATACGTCTTCATCATTGTCTATGCTGCCAATAATAATAATAATAATAATAATAATAATAATAATAAAAAAAGACAAAAGCTTATTTCTGATGCTTGGTTTCCCTTTCCAGTCCTTGATATCTTGTGGATTGGGATGTACGTCTTCATCATTGTCTATGCTGCTAATAATAAACATAATCATAATGTAATACAAGGGCTAATTTCTGATGTTTGGTTTCCCTTTCCAGTCATGGATGTCTTGTGGAATGGGACATATATCACTATCATTGTCTATGCTGCCAATAATAATAATAATAATAATAATAATAATAATAATAATAATAATAATAATAATTAAAAAAAAAGACAAAAGCTTATTTCGGATGCTTGATTTCCCTTTCCAATCCTGGATGTCTTGTGGATCGGGGCATACGTCTTCATCATTGTCTATGCTGCCAATAATAATAATAATATAAGACAAGGGCTTATTTCTGATGCTTGGTTTCCCTTTCCAGTCCTGGATGTCTTGTGGATCGGGACATACGTCTTCATTATTGTCTATGCTGCCAATAATAATAACAATAAAAATATAAGACAAGGGCTAATTTATTATGCTTGGTTTCCCTTTCCAGTCCTGGATGTCTTGTGGATCGGGACATATGTCTTCACCATTGTCTATGCTGCTGCCGATGGGACCTTGGAGACATCTCCCGAAGTGGTGATGGCTGTGTTGCCGGTACGTTTGGAATTGTGAGCCACTTTGGGTTTCAATTCTGAGGAAAAGCAGCTCATAAATAATTATAATAGAGAGAGAGAGCGGAGGGCAGGGAAGGAAGCTCACCTCCCAGTGAGGTTTCTGTGCCCTTCCTTAACACATCATTCACTGCGTCTCACCTTTTATTTATTTAGAACTTTTCTATCCTGTTCTTCTCTACCTCTGTGGAGGGACTCAGAACCTTTTCTGTTCTTTCTGCATTCAGAAAAAGGAGGAGAAAAGGCCGGAGCTGTTTGTGAATTTCATGGAGCCCTGTTACGGCAGCTGCACAGAGCGGCAGCATCACTACTTTCTGAACTATGTCGAAGAGTGGTGAGTGAGTCACAAAAGGAAGCCCAGGAAAAGCTACTTGCACTTTTGTTTTACAGCCCAGAGCAGAGCAGAGGGAGTACTTTCTGTAAATCCAGCTTCCTTGGATGGATATTGTACATTGTTTGGAGCTTGGAAAAGATTTGCTGGCTGAAGAAATTTGTCATCTTACAAAAGGAACCTTTCCAAGCATCATAATAATAATAATAATAATAGTTGTTGTTATTATTATTACATGTATATGTATTTATATGTGTGTGTGTGCATGCCTATATGTATAGATATATTACATTATGTAACAAAATTTGCAAAATGTTCTATTCCTGGTTTGAAAGTGTTATTTCTTGTTTAACACTGCGGTCCTTACTTTGCAACTTGTTCTCCTCCAGAAACTTTGTTTTTGTGGCTTTCACAAACTGTTGAATTGGTTGAGACTCGATTATGAGATTGTCATTGAAAAAATGTGCTATAGCAGGATAGCTCTCCCACAAAAACAAAGGTTTTGCAATTCAATACACTTTTCCCGTGTTTTTATAGTAGACCCAATTAGGAAATGACATTTATAACCCAGGAACAAGAATCGTGTTACATAGTGTTATTTATTGCCCATCTCTTTGTCAGAAATAGCATCCTCAGAGGTAATGAGGTCTGTCAGGCGAAACGTCAGGAGAAAAATTGCCTCCAGAACATGGCCATATAGCCCGGAAAAACCTACAACAACCTGTATATTACATTTTTGTATCTTTTTCTCTCGAAAACATCCAAAATGGTGCCTTTTTGTTTTCCCAGGGATCTGGTTCTGGCTGCATCAGCCGCTTCCACGGAAGTCAGCATCCTTGCGAGGCAAGGTGACCAGGTAACATTCTGCCTATTGTGATAACCTTCCATTCAGTTTGAATAAATGGAGGGAAGAGGGTCAGCTTTGCAAGGCCATATGTGAGGTGTGTGTGATCTATTAAAATTTGGGAAGCTCTCTTTCAATCGCTCATAGGCCGGTTCATGCAAACAGCAAAGAAAAGAGGAGAACACAGTTTCTTGTTGTCTCTTTCAGTGGCAGGGAGGTTTCCTTCAGCCTCCAATTGCCACAAAGAGGCTTGAGCTAGCCTTAGGGTTCACCTTGTGCTCCTTTTCAGAACAACTGGGAGCTGTGGGTCCTGGAAGACTCCAGCCGAGCCGAGCTCCCCGTGACGGACAAGAGCGATGACACACTGCCCGTCGGACTGGCCATTGATTACACCAGTAGCAGCCCCATCATAATCAGTAAGTGCACGCATTGTTTCTTGGTTACGTTTTGTTACGTAGATAATGCTATGTTAAATAGAAATGCATTGTCTGTTAACTCCATTGTGCATTGTTGTTGGAAAAATACAGTTCTAATAGACATGTGGTCACACACATTTACTAAAAGAGTTAAGCAGGTGGTGATGTTGAATTAGAGGGACAGGAAAAGAAGCTTGAGTCATGACCATGTGATAGGCATGACGAGACCTACGTAATTCATTGTTGTCCCTGATCGATGATGAGAAGCCTGTGGGTATAAAATTAAGTGACAGCTGTGTACTCCCTCTTGCTATAAGGATCTCTTGCCATTCGGACCTCTTGCTATGATAATTGTTTATTTATTGATTGATTTATTGTATTTATATTCCATACTTCTCACCCCGCAGGGGACTCAGGGCGGATTACAATGTACATATACATGGCAAACATTCAATGCCATAGACACACAACATATATAAACAGACACACAGAGACTATTTAACATTTCAGCTTTTTCATGAGGGTATTCTGGCCACAAGTGGAGCTGTTGCTTCACTGTCCATTTGTGACACTGAAGAAGTACTCCCTCATTCTTTGCATGCTTGCTGGATATTTTTATGGCGTCGTAAATTGGCCTCCCCGCATAAGCGGTACTTAAATTTCCTACTTGACAGATGCAACCGTCTTTCAGGTTGTAAGGGTCAACAGTAAGCTACACAAATTGTTTGGAAGCTCACTTCGACCCGGGCTGGCTTCACACTCATAACCTTTTGGTCAGTAGTGATCCTAATACAGCTGAGTCCCAGCCAGCTGCGTCACAGTCATAGAATCAAAGAGTTGGAAGAGATCTCATGGGCCATCCAGTCCAACCCCCTGCCAAGAAGCAGGAATATTGCATTCAAATCACCCCTGACAGATGGCCATCGCTGTGGAAAAAAGAGGTGGATCAATGTGGTGGAGGCTCCTTCTTTGGAGGCTTTTAAACAGAGGCTGGATGGCCATCTGTCGGGGGTGCTTTGAATGCAGTTTTCCTGCTTCTGGGCAGGGGGTTGGACTGGATGGCCCACGAGGTCTCTTCTAACTCTATGATTCTATGATTCTGTGAAATGTCCTTCATGACTTACAGTGCCTGAGAGAATGGGATTGGAGCCCTCGGGGTCTCTTCCAATTCTAGGATTTCTATGTGCCTTTGCAGCATTCTTTAGATGCGGGGAATGCCGTAGATGGAGCGTACCTGGATTTCAGTAAGGCCTTCGACAAGGTCCCCCATGACCTTCTGGCAAGGAAACTAGTCCAATGTGGGCTAGGCAAAACTACGGTGTGGTGGATCAGTAATTGGCTAAATGGACGAACCCAGAGGGTGCTCACCAATGCTTCCTCTTCATCCTGGAAAGAAGTGATGAGTGGAGTGCCGTCAGCAGGGTTCCGTCCTGGGCCCGGTCCTGTTCAGGATCTTAATTCATGACTTAGATGAAGGGCTAGAAGGCAGGATCATCAAGTTTGCAGACAACATCAAATTGGGAGGGATAGCCAATACTCCAGAGGACAGGAGCAGGATTCAAAACGATCTTGACAGATTAGAGAGATGGGCCAAAACTAACAAAATGAAGTTCAACAGGGACAAATGCAAGATACTCCACTTTGGCAGGAAAAACGAAATGCAAAGATACAGAATGGGGGACGATGCCTGGCTCGAGAGCAGTACGTGAAAAAGATCTTGGAGTCCTCGTGGACAAGAAGTTAAACTTGAGCCAACAATGTGATGTGGCGGCAAAAAAAGCCAATGGGATTTTGGCCTGCATCAATAGGAGCATAGTGTCTAGATCTAGGGAAGTCATGCTACCCCTCTATTCTGCTTTGGTTAGACCACACCTGGAATATTGTGTCCAATTCTGGGCACCACAATTGAAGAGAGATATTGACAAGCTGGAATGTGTCCAGAGGAGGGCGACTAAAATGATCAAGGGACTGGAGAACAAGCCCTATGAGGAGCGGCTTAAGGAGCTGGGCATGTTTAGCCTGAAGAAGAGAAGGCTGAGAGGAGATATGATAGCCATGTATAAATATGTGAGAGGACGACACAGTGAGGAGGGAGCAAGCTTGTTTTCTGCTTCCCTGGAGACTAGGACGTGGAACAGTAGCTTCAAACTACAAGAGAGGAGATTCCATCCGAACATGAGGAAGAACTTCCTGACTGTGAGAGCCGTTCAGCAGTGGAACTCCCTGCTCCTTTTTAGAACAACTGGGAGCTGTGGGTCCTGTGGCTCCGGGGAGTGTGGTGGAGGCTCCTTCTTTGGAAGCTTTTAAACAGAGGCTGGATGGCCATCTGTCAGAGATGCTTTGAATGCAATTTCCCTGTTTCTTGGCACAATGGGATTGGACTGGTTGACCCATGAGGTCTCTTCCAACTCTGTGATTCTTTACAAGTCGTTCTCTATGTGTAGAAATTACCTTTGGAAAGTGCAGTTCCTTTTATTTACTGGAAATATTAATTTCTTCTCAGTATCATAGACTTTTAGGGCAGCGTCTGGATCAAATGAATGCTTTCAAGCAGTATGAACGGAATGATCTGAACACTAAAAGCATAAAAAGTATATCGATTGCCGTATTTCTTCTATTTGTAGGGATCGCCCTCATTCCAGTACCACCAGTAGCAGCAAAAACTCGTATATAAAAGTTTCCTGTTATTCTAAGTCACACCCTATTTCGAGATATGTTTATCTAAGGAGAAGAAGTGTGTCTAGGAATGGAAGAAATACAGTAAATTAAAATAGTCTTTAAAATGTATTTCTGGGTCTGAAATGGTTTGAAGCCAAAGTTTTTGATGGACAAGTGTTCTTGCTTGGTGCTTTGAAGGCTTAGCTTAATGGGGCCTTTTTTCTTTTCAGGTGAGGAGAAGTCGGTGGACCCGGCTCCGGTCCTATTGCTCCTCTCGACCGACGGGGTGCTGTGCCCCTTCTATATGGTCAACCAAAACCCTGGGGTCCGGACCCTCCTTGTGACGCCGGAGCCTCTGTCTGCAGAAGGGGAGCGAGGAGCAAAGGCGGCCGGTGAGTCCCAGTAAGGTGGCCTTCTGCAGCTGGCAGCTGGTAATTTTGTCAGCTCCGATTGTGTTTAAGTGCAGGCCAAGGTCTTTAGGCACTTCACCCAGAGTGCCAATCACCACAGGGACCACCTTGACTGGCTTGTGCCAGAATCTTTGCAGTTCGATCTTTAAATGCTCTTTAAATGTTCGATTTTGTTGTTGTTATGGTTAGGGGGAAGGGGGTCCAGGCCCACATCCGGCATTGACTGGGTTTACCTTAAGGGAAGAGAAGAAGGGCATGTCCTGGTCTTTCCTCGCATTCTCTGAGTAACGCATTATTTCTTGGTCACGTTTTGTTAGGTAGATAATGCTGTGTTAGATAGAAATGCATTGTCTGTTAACTCCATTGTGCATTACCATTGGAAAAATACAGTTCTAATAGACGTGTGGTCACACACATTTACTAAAAGAGTTAAGCAAGTGGTGATATTGAACTAGAGCGACAGGAAATGAAGCTTGTGTCATGACCATGTGATAGGCATGACGAGAGCTATGTAATTCATTGTTGTCCCTGATCGATGATGAGAAGCCTATGGGTATAAAAGTAAGTGACAGTTGTGCGCTCTTGCTATGAGTATCTCTTGCCATGTGGGTCTCTTGCTATGATAATTTTATGATAATGTTTATTGTTTATTTGCTGTTATGAGTTTTATTTACTGCTTGTACTATTGTTGTTTTTGCTTTATTTTTGCTGTGTTGTGGGCTCGGCCTCATGTAAGCCACACCGAGTCCCTTGGGGAGATAGTAGCAGGGTACAAATAAAGTTTTATTATTTATTATTATTATTATAATTGCTTCTTATTGTATTGTTGCTGTGAGTATATCTTCGTAATATACCGATGGCAGATCTTGATGTGTATATAGCTGTACGTCAGCAACAAGTCAAGATGAAAGCCTCCAAAGTGAGTTTTGATGAAAGCCAGTGTCTTACTAAAACATTGAGCAGGCAACCAGGTCAGAGGCTGTGCAATAAATCTCTGTTAGCTATATATGAAAGACTCTGCAGTGTTTTGGTTTGATCTGAGTGCTTGCCTTGAGACAATCAGTCACATGTGTAGCATAGTAGGTGTTTTGTTTTTACCCTGACACATTTGTTTCTGAGGGCACAGCTTTTGGCCTGAATGGCAAACAGGAAGATTGAATTGGTCAAAATCTAGAGCAGTGTTTCTCAACCTGGGGGTCAGGACCCCTAGGGGGGTCGCGAGGGGTATCAGAGGGGTTGCCAAAGACCATTAGAAAACACAGTATTTTCTATTGGTCATGGGGGTTCTGTGTAGGAAGTTTAGCCCAATTCTCTCATTGTTGGAGTTCAGAATGCTCTTTGATTGTAGGTGAACTATAAATCCCAGCAACTACAACTCCCAAATGTCAAGGTCTATTTTCTCTAACCTCCTCCAGTATTCACATTTGGGCATGTTGAGTATTCGTGCCAAGTTTGGTCCAGATCCATCATTGTTTGAGTCCACAGTGCTCTCCGGATAAAAGTGAACTACAACTCCAAAACTCAAGGGCAATGCCTATCAAACCCTTCCAGTATTTACTGTTGGTCATAGGAGTTCTGTGTGCCAAGACTGGTTCAATTCAGTCATTGGTGGAGTTCAGTATGCTCTTTGATTGTATGTGAACTACGAATCTCAGCAACTACAACTTCCAAATGACAGCATCAATCTCCCCTTCAATCCCACTAGAATTAAAATTTGGGTGTATCAGGCATTTGTGCCAAATTTGGTCCAGTGAATGAAAATACATCCTGCATATAAGATACTTATGTGACGATTCATAACAGCAGCAAAATTACAGTTGTGAAGTAGCAACAAAAATAATGTTATGGTTGGCAGTCACCACAACATGAGAACTGTATTAAGGGGTCGCGGCATTAGGGAGGTTGAGAACCACTGATCTAGAGGGTCACGGCTTCCCTTTTCCTTCAAACACAATCTTGACTCTCGCTGTGGAAAAAGGAGGGTGGATGAATGCAAACGATGCATGTCCTTCATGACCTATAAGCCTGCCTGAGAGAATAGGATTGGTCTGGATAGCCCTTGGGGTCTCTTCCAACTCTAAGGTTTCTACGTTTCTATGTTTCTTTCCTTCCTCCAGGGAGCACTCCACCTTCTTCTGCCCCTCCGAGGATGGATCCGGCCCCTCCTCATCCTGCCGCTGCCACTTTCTCATTTGCGGCCTCCGCTTTGAAAGGCCCGCCAGGGTCAGCCGAGGCCCCTGGCCCTCCTCCCTTTGCTCCGGACGCCTCCAAGCCCATGAGCGGACCCTCGGGGTTCGCCTTCTCTCCCGCGCCCCCCAAGGCTCCGATGATTCCGACCCCGTTGGCTGCCGCCACTCCACCTCCCGCCGCCTCGTTCTCTTTCGGATCAATGAGCTTCAAAACGAACGCAGACAGTCCGGCCGGGCCCCTGCCCGCTGCAACACCCCTCGGGCCGAAGCAGAGTTTCACCCCCTCGACGGCGTCCGTCAAAGTCAACCTCACCGAGAAGTGAGTCTTTGATGGAAAGTTCAAGAGATGCTTTGAAATACAAACGTTGACGTACAAGCAAACCAAATTATGAGTATTTTGAGATACGAACTGTTGTCCGATTGTTTGCTTTGACGTGCAAGCCGAGATTTGAGTTACAAGCGAGTGCGGGATTGCACCACTCTCCATTTTAATTAAGATTAGGGGGAAGGGGGCTAGGCCCACATCCAGCGTTGGCTGAGTTTATCCTTAAGGGAGGAGAAGGAGGGATTGAAGGGAGCAGCCAGGAAAGGTCTTTGCTCTTGTCCTTATTGCTGTTATCTATCTATCTATCTATCTATCTATCTATCTATCTATCTATCTATCTATCTATTTACATCTTTTATATTCCGCCCTTCTCACCCCGTAGGGGACTCAGGGTGGATTATAGTGTACACATATATGGCAAACATTCAATGCCAATTTTTGACATACAAACATATACAGACATACACAGAGGCTATTTAACTTTTTCTGGCCGCCAGGGGAGCTGTCGCTTTCATCGTCCATCTGTGATGGTAATGAAGCACTTCCGCATTCCCCGCATGCTTCCCTGCTGGAATGCTTTGCTGGAGTCTTCTTTATGGCCTCATAAATCAGTTAATTTAGCCTCCCCACACTTTTTAAGGTGGTACCTAATTTTTCCTACTTGACAGATGCAACTGTCTTTTGGGTTGCAAAGGTCGACAACAGGCTACACACAATTGGTTGGAAACCCACTCCAACCCGGGCTGGCTTCGAACTCATGACCTTTTGGTCAGAGTAATCTTAATACAGCTGACACTCAGCCAGCTGCGCCACAATCCCAGGGCTTTGGGAGATTGTAGGAAAGATCGCTGAGGGATCAGGTGTCTTAATTGGGAGTAAAAAGCACTAAAGAGATATTGTTAGGGAAAACTACCCAATAATACTAACAGAGCATCCAAAAACAAACAGGATACAAAAGTTGAGCATTAGCTCACAGCTAGCAAAGCGTGAAGTGGCTGTAAAGAATTCGGAGCTTAGGAGGCAAACATGCAGAGTCCAATCTTGTTCTATATACCAGTAGGTATATTATAATATGTACACTTTGGAAATAATAATAATATTAATGTTGATAAATATTGCTTGTTTGTTGATATATTGTTGTATTTGTATTTGACAGGCTTGGCCTCATGTAAGCCACCCCGAGTCCCTTCGGGGAGATATTTATTTATCGTATCATCAGCAACCATACCATTGTATTACATTTCTAACAGAACAAAACAAACAAACAGATTTTAAAAAACACAATTTTTGCAAACTTGGTAGTTGATTAAATGCCCTTTGACCAGTATCTGGCCACTTGGAGGGCCTCTGGTGTTGCCGCAAGGAGGTCCTCCATTGTGCATGTGGCAGGGCTCAGGATGCATTGCAGCAGGTGGTCAGTGGTTTGTTCTTCTCCACACTCGCATGTCGTGGATTCCACTTTGTAGCCTCATTTCTTAAGATTGGCTCTGCATCTTGTGGTGCCAGAGCGCAGTCTGTTCAGCGCCTTCCAAGTCGCCCAGTCTTCTTCTGTGTGCCCAGAGGGGAGTCTCTCATCTGGTATCACCCACGGATTGAGGTTCTGGGTTTGAGCCTGCCACTTTTGGACTCTCGCTTGCTGAGGTGTTCCAGCGAGTGTCTCTGTAGATCTAAGAAAACTATTTCTTGATTTAAGTCGTTGACATGCTGGCTGATACCCAAACAGGGGAAGAGCTGGAGATATCTCTGCCTTGGTCCTTTCACTATTGACTGCTACTTCCCGGTGGATGTCAGGTGGTGCAATACCAGCTAAACAGTGTAATTTCTCCAATGGTGTAGTGGTGTAGGGCGCAGACACCCCATGATAATGCGACATGTCTCATTAAGAGCCACATCTACTGTTTTAGTGTGGTGAAACTGGGCATGCGTATTCAGCAACAGAGTAGCATAGCGCAAGGGCAGATGCCTTCACTGTGTCTGGTTGTGATCCCCAAGTTGTGCCAGTCAGCTTTCGTATGATATTGTTTTTAGCGCCCATTTTTTGCTTGATGTTCAGGCAGTGCTTCTTGTAGGTCAGAGCACAGTCCAGAGTTACTCCCAGGTATTTGGGTGCGCTACAATGCTCCAGTGGGATTCCTTCCCAGGAGATCTTCAGAGCTCGGGATGCTTCTCTGTTCTTGAGATGAAAGGCACATGTCTGTGTTTTAGATGGATTAGGAATCAGTTGATTTTCCCTGTAATAGGCAGTTAGAGCACCTAGAGCTTCGGAGAGCTTCCGTTCAACCATCTCAAAGCTTTCGGGGAGATGGTGGCGGGGTATAAATATATTTTTATTATTATTAAAACATTATTATTATTATTATTATTATTATTATTATTATTATTATTATTGCTATTGCTAGCTGTACCCACCACGCGTTGCTGTGGCCAACCTTCCCTCGCAGAGCTTAGGCGGTGTTGTATTTCAGTGTCAATATTGACTTTTGTGGAGAGGTGGCAGCCAAGGTAGCGGAAATGGTCAACGTTTTCTAATGTTACACTATTAAGCTGTATTTCTGCCATTTGAGAGAGATTGGCTGGTGACTGCTGGATCTCTCCTGACACACAAGCAGAGAGAGATCTCAATGCACCCAGCACATGCTCTCCATACAAAAGTGTATGAAAGTCAGAAGTCAGATTCAAAAAGCTTGCAGTAGATAAGTATCCATTTCAAACAATGAGAGCTGAAACAGAGAGGAGAGAAAAAATAAATTCCTAACTGGTCATACAAAAGACATGGGAGAAGGGAATTCCCTCAGCCTATACTAAACTAACTAACTGCTGCTCTTGAGGACTCAAGACTTGGGCAGCGTGTGGTTGAATTCCAACAGATATACGGAGACACTGCATTAACAAAACCATGTCTCATGGAGTCTACCTTCATATCCATTTCTTCTAGGTTCATGGCTGCAGACACACCGACTCCCGTAGCTGCCAGTAGCAGCAATAGCCAAAGCCCTGCTGCTGCCTTCTCTTTTTCTCCAGCCGTGAAGCTCATGCCTGCAGGGCCCCAAAGCCAGGCCGCCACACGCTCTTCTCCGCCTTCCGCCCCAATGAAAAGCTCCAGCCCTGCACCTTCCACAGGTACGCAGCACCACCGTGTTATGGCCTTACGGGAAGGATATCGCTGTGTCACAACATTTGGAAAACGTTCTGTTCCTAGTTTGAAAGGGTTATTTCTGTTTAATTGTGCAGTCCTAATTGGAAGCAGTGCATTTGGAGCGTCCTCATCCCCTAAAGGGCCTGATCTAGGGGATGCTGGGAGCTGTCATTTTTACGCATGCACTGTATTATCAATGAGCTTTTTTTGGGTTTTATATTGTATTACATTATATTATTATCAATATGATATTATGTACATTGTATTATTAGCATAGCACAATATTAGTACTATATATTACTATATTGTACTATACCACTGTACTGCAATATTATTTCTAATGCTCCATGTAATATATTATATATAGTTACTAGCCGTCTCCTGCCACGTGTTGTTGTGGTCCACATGGGGGTGCTGTGTGGGAAGTTTGGCCCAATTCTATCGTTGTTGGGATTCAGAATGCTCTGTGATTGTAGATGAACTATAAATCCCAGCAACTACAACTTCCAAATGTCAAGATTCTATTTTCCCCAAATTCCACCAGTGTTCACATTTGGGCATATTGAGTATTCGTGTAAAGTTTGGTCCAGATCCATCATTGTTTGACTCCACTGTGATCTCTGGATGTAAGAGAACTACAACTCCAAAACCAAAGGACACTGCCAACCAAACCCTTCCAGTATTTTCTGTTGGTCATGGGAGAACTGTGTGCCAAGTTTGGTTCAATTCCATCGTTGGTGGGGTTCAGAATGCTCTTTGATTGTAGGCAAACTATAAATCCCAGCAACTACAACTCCCAAATGACAAAATCAATTTTTTTGAGTGAAAGACATACATTGGGTTGTTAGATGTCCTGTGTCCAAATTTGGTGCCAACTCGTCCAGTGGTTTTTGTGTTCTGTTAATCCCACAAACAAACGTTACATTTTTATTTATATAGATGTTATTATATTGTGCTATATCATTATTATACCACAATATGCTGTTTTAAATTGTTTTAAATGGTTTTTAAATTGTGTTAGATTTAGCCATTCTTGTATATTATTTATATATATATATATATATATATATATATATATATATATATATATAAATAATATACAAGAATGGCTCTCTCTCTCTCTCTCTCTCTATATATATATATATATATATTTAATACTATTCTTCTTCTCTTTCTTATTGTAGTTTTCTGCTTCTGAAAGACTCTTCTTTCTGTCTCTCTTTCTCTTTTAGTGGTGCGTCCCTCCCAGAGCGCCTCCCCGGCACCTGGGCTTCAGAAAACCGCCAAGGTTCCCCCCTCTGTGTCAAAAGCAGGCCTTTCCCAGGTAAAGGAAAACTGGTTGTTTTAGACCAGGTCTGAAGTGTCTCTGGGATCCTTTGTATGAGGATTGTGGAGTTGGAATTATGGGCCATTATTATTATTATTAGCAGTAGTAGTAGTATTACTATTACGGTTCCTCTTCTTCATCCTGGAAAGAAGGGACTCTTTATGTGTCATAAAGAGGGTCCTATCCTGGGACTTTCAGGTCTCTTTAACATTATTATTATTATTATTAGTAGTAGTAGTAGTCAGGTCACAGGTTTGAATAGAGGCAGATGAGCTCCCTCTATCAGCTCCAGCTCCTCATGCGGCATGAGGGAAGCCTCCCACAAGGATGATAAAAACATCAATTCATCCAGGCGTCCCCTGAGCAACGTTCTTGCAGACGGCCAATTCTCTCACACCAGAAGCGAAGACGCGATTAGTAGTAGTATTACTATTACTGTAGTAGTAGTAGTAGTAGGAGTATTATTATTATGGTTCCTCATCTTCATCCTGGAAAGAAGGGACTTTTTTCGTGCCATAAAGAGGGTCCTATCCTGGAACTTTCAGGGCTCTTTAACATTATTATTATTATTATTAGTAGTAGTAGTAGTAGTGTGGAGCCCCTGGTGGCGCAGTGGCTTAAACCTGTGCAGTGGGTTAAACCTGTGCCGGCAGGACTGAAGACCGACAGGTCGCAGGTTCGAATCCGGGGAGAGGCGGATGAGCTCCCTCTATCAGCTCCAGCTCCTGATGTGGGGACATGAGAGAAGCCTCCCACAAGGATGATAAAAACATCAATTCATCCGGGCGTCCCCTGGGCAACGTCCTTGCAGACGGCCAATTCTCTCACACCAGAAGCGAAGAAGCGATTAGTAGTAGTATTACTATTACGGTTCCTCTTCATCCTGGAAAGAAGGGACTCTTTGTATGCCATAATGAGGATCCTATCCTGGGACTTTCAGGACATTTTAACATTGTTATTATTATTAGTAGTAGGAGTATTATTATTATGGTTCCTCTTCTTCATCCTGGAAAGAAGGGACTCTTTGTGTGCCATAAAGAGGGTCCTATCCTGGAACTTTCAGGGCTCTTTAACATTATTATTCTTATTTGTACTAGTAGTAGTATTACTATTATGGTTCCTGTTTTTCATCCCGGAAAGAAGGGACTCTTTGTGTGCCGTAATGACGATCCTATCCTGGGACTTTCAGGGCTCTTTAACATTCTTATTCTTATTCTTATTATTATTATTATTATTAGTAGTAGTAGTAGTATTTATTTATTTATTTCGCGCACTTCTACCCCGCACTTCTCAACCCGGGGGGGGGGGGGGGGGGGGGGGGGGGGGGGGGGGGGGGGGGCTCAGGGCGGCTTACAAAAGGCACAATTCGATGCCAACAATACAGATAATAATATATATATCAGCAACAATTAAAAACAATCCAGTTATACATCATAACTAATAATAGTAGTAGTAGTATTACGATTACAGTTTCTCTTCTTCATCCTGGAAAGAAGGGACTCTTTTTGTGCCATAAAGAGCGTCCTATCTTGGACTTTCAGGGCTCTTTAACATTAACAATAATAATAGTAGTAGTAGTAGTAGTAGTACTATTACGATTCCTCTTCTTCATCCTGGAAAGAAGAGACTCTTTGGTGGAGGCTTTGAGACAGAGGCTGGATGGCCATCTGTTGGGAGGGATTGGATGCTGCTTTTCCCTAATGGCAGAAAGGAAGAGGTTGGACTGGATGTCCTCTGAGGGTCCCTTCCCACTCTATGATTCCATGAAAAGACCTCATGGGTCATGTAGCCCAGCCCCACTCAGGTCTCCAAAGACTTTTCAATTGAATCAGTGTGTTTTTCAGGGCCGGCAGCAACCTCCTGGTGCTGGAACAGAGAAGCAGGTTCACCAGTGGAAGGATTCCGACCCGGTCATTGCAGGGATACGAGAGGAAGTGAGTCTTTTCATGTTCTTTGCTAATGTTTGGCTCCAGGACTTGTTTAGTGGCAAGGAGCCTTTGACAGCTGTGATTCCCAATCCACAGATGGCCCACTTCCAGCAGGAGATGGCGGACCTGAAAGGCCGGACCGCCAAGGCCTCCTTCCAGGTTGGCACCGAAGAGGAGAAGAAGCTGTTGCGGGCCGAGGCCAACGACCTGCACACCTTCCTCTTGGAGATCAAAGAGACAACTGAGGTAAAGGGCAGGAGAGAGTGTTGTTCTCCCCCACAAACAATCTGCTCCATCCCGATCTCATCCTGATTTTAGTATTTTTAGTATCTTAGTTTTTAATCTTGCACAAGCAACCCGCTCATTGTTATGTTATGTTATGTTATTTTACTGTGGATGATTTTGCTTTATCGTCTTTGTACTCATATGTAGTTGTATGTATTTTACTGTGTTGTTACTGTGTTTTGGTTTTACTTTATTGTAATATGCTGTTGGACTTGGCCTCATGTAAGCCGCCTTGAGTCCCCATTGGGGAGATGGTGGCGGGGTATTAAATAAAGTTGATTATGATGATGATTATTATTATTGTGTATCCCTTAACATGTTATTTAATCCATTTTCAGTGGACAGAGTGCATCAGGCCCTTTCAGAAGTAGACACATCAGTATTGGATTTTATAAGGCTTTTCGCAAGTCCTATGAGTCAGCCGTCAAGGACGCTAAAAAATCTGGCCTCTGCTAGATCACGCCCAGCACAATTATTCAAAATCGTTCGTGCCTTGATGAGTCTGGCTCCTTTAGTCCAGAACCCAACAACTATTACAGCTTTGGCATTCCAGAAATTTTTCACTAACAAAATTACCGTGCTTCGGCAGGAACTCCCCCCCACAGTCGACACTTTGAGTGAGATGGAGACTTTGTGGCCGCTTAGCAGGCCTATCTTCGATCAATTTACACCACTTAACATGGAAGATGTCGCCAGAATTCTGGCTACTGCAAAACCAACCACCTGTTCTCTTGATCCGTGCCCCTCTTGGCTGATCAAGAGCTGCTTGGAAGGTCTACTCGATCTATTGTGCAGTATAATCAATGGCTCTCTTGAACAGGGTTTTTTTCCGGACAACCTAAAAGAGGCAAGGGTTCGTCCCTTGTTAAAGAAACCTAGCGTGGATCCTATGACCCTTGCCTATTACCGTCCTGTTTCTAATCTGCCATTCTTAGGCAAGGTGATAGAGCGAGCTGTACTGGGACAATTGCAGCAATTCCTGGATGACACAGCTGGCCTGGACCCTTTCCAGTCAGGTTTCCACCCTGGCCATGGGACGGAGACAGTCCTGGTTGCCATTACGGATGAACTCCGACACCAGTCTGACAATGGTGGATCCGCGCTACTGGTACTTCTCGACCTTACCGCAGCGTTTGACACCGTCGACTATGTTCTACTGATTCACCGTCTTGCCATGTCCGGGGTTCGTGGTCAGGCCCTCAATTGGTTCAACTCATTTCTCTGGAACCGGAGTCAACGTGTGGAGTACATGGATCAAGTCTCCGATAGATCCCCCCTCCTATGTGGGGTCCCCCAAGGTGCAATTCTCTCTCCTCTTCTCTTCAACATCTACGTTAGACCCCTTGCTAGTTTGGCTCGGAGTTTCGGCCTGGACTGCTACCAATATGCAGACGATACCCAACTCCTTCTGCGCCTGGAGCAACGTCAATTCCAGACAATTTCACCCTATGTCTGGAAGCTCTGTCGAACTGGCTACGTGCTAGCAGACTGAAGGTGAACCCGGCGAAGACTGAGATTCTCTGGCATGGCTGCCTGGCAGGTTTGACTCATCCGTTACCCACCTTCGATGGTGCCGCCCTATCTCCATCGACCACTGTTAAGAGCTTAGGTGTCGTCCTGGATTCACAGCTGACAGTGGAAGCTCAGGTCACTGCTGCCAGCAAACAGGCCTTTTTCCATCTACGACAAGCGAGGCAACTGGCACCCTACCTATCTGACGAGGCTCTGGCAACTGTCATCCATGCCACAGTCACGTCTAGGCTGGACTATTGCAATGCCCTGTATGTTGGCCTTCCAATGTCTACGACCCGAAAGCTCCGTATTGTTCAGAATGCGGCAGCCAGGTTACTCACAAGAACGCCCATGAAATGCCTTATAACACCAGTGCTGTAACATTTACATTGGCTTCCAACTGAGTACCGTGGCCTGTATAAGATGTTAGTTCTGACCTTTAAAATTCTTTACGGCCAGGGTCCATCGTACCTTAGGGACCGCCTCTCCTTCTCCCATCATCGGAGGTCGCAACGACCAGCCCAACTTACTCTATATACCGGGTCCTAGAGAAGTGCACTTGGAAAGGACCAGACGCAGGGCTTTTTCTATTTCTGCCCCTGCCTTATGGAATTCCTTGCCACCCTACATGAGAGCCATGCGTGACTTAGGGCCTTTTACTCTCGCACTTAAGACCTGGCTTTTTACTAGAGCATTCGATCTCTGTTAATTTTAAAATTCTGTATGTATGTATTTTATCTTTTACAGTTTAACTGTAAATCGCCTAGAGCATTCTCGGATGGAGGGAGATTAATAAGTAATTAAATATGATGATGATGATGATGATAATTGCTGTATTGATCACACAGACAAAACATTCAGTCCAACATTCACGCATAATTAATTTATTCCATCATTTATACCCACCATCCATCTTGGAAGGAGGCGAGTGTCCAGACTCTGCATTCCTTGCAGATCTGACACACTTTTCAAAGAGAAAAGGGTCTCCTTGTGTGTTGTTTGATTGTTTTGATGAATTGTGATTCAGCTCAAGAGTTGCTGAAGCGCCATCAATTCCAGAACATACGTTATTTTTCTTCCGTAATGTAAGGAGTCATTCTTTCTGACTTCTTTATTAGAGATATTTTCATAGAATTATTATTATTATTATTGTTATTATTGTTAATTAAAAAGCAATCTTGTTTGTAGCGGGGGGCTGCCTGTATGTCAGAAATGGCTTGTTTCTGTGCCTATCCCCTTGAGGACAAGCAAGGATTCCTGTTTTGCTTTTGCTTTCCTCTCACAGTCCCTCCACGGAGACATCAGCCTGCTGAAGACCAACCTCTTGGAAGGTTTTGCAGGAGCAGAGGACGCCAAAGAGAAGGAGGAGCGGGCCCACAGCGCCGAGTACTTGCACCTCCTCTACAAGAAGCCCTTGGACCCCAAGAGCGAAGCCCAACTCCAGGTGAAGCCTGCGGAAGCTCAGAATGGGTTACAACTCCACTCCGGTGGCTCTTTAATTCCATTGAGCTGCAGCCATCCACATCCTTTTATGACGTGCAAGTTCTAATGTCGCCTAATGGTTGAGAAGGGTGGTATACAAATATAGTAAATCATAATCTATATATATATATATATATATATATATATATATATATATATAAATGTAATGTTCGTTTGTGCTATTCACAGAACTCAGAAACCACTGGGGCAATTGACACCAAATTTGGACACTATGTCCCTAAAAACCCAATGTATGTTCTCCACTCAAAAAAACAACGAAAACAAAAAGCAGAAAGGACTTCTAAACTGCATGTCCACAAAGGAGAAACTGCATGTCTACCGAGACACATGGCCACGCCCCCCTCCTCCTCCTCACGGGGAAACAGCCACCGTTAAAGCCAGGCGCACATGCACGGCCACACACACACACAAACACACACAAGCGAGTGGAGTGGAGGAGGTGGAGGCAGTCTCCTCCTCCTTTCCCTATTGGAAGAGGAAAGGGCGGATGAGTGCCAGCAGCAGCAACGGAGCATGGAAGAAGGGGAGGGGGAGGGGGGAGGAGGAGGCGAGGAAGGTCCACGGTGCTTGAATGAAGGACCTTCCTTCTCTCCCACCCTTCCCTTCTTTCCTTTTCTTCTTTCCTTCTCCTTCCTTTCTTTCTTTCCCTCCTTCCCTTCCTTCCTGTCTCTCCTTCCTTTTTCCTTTCCTTCTTTTCCTTCCTCCCTCCCTCCCTTTCCTCCTTCTTTCCCTTTCTTCATTTCCTTCCCCTTCATTTCCTTCCCTCCCTCCTGTCTTCATCCCCCTCCTTTCCTTCCTTCCTTCTCCTTCCTCCCTTCCTCCCTTCCTGTCCCTCCTTTTTTTCCCCTTCCTTCCCTTCTTTCCCTCCCTCCCTTCCTTTTTCCTTCCTTCCTGTCCCTCCTTACTTCTTCCTTTCCTTCCTTTCCTTTCTTTCTCCCTCCCATTCCTCCTTCTTTCCCTTTCTTCATTTACTGGGATTTATAGTTTGCCCCAATTGTGTCGTTTGTGGGATTCAGAATGCTCTTTGATTGTAGGCAAACTATAAATCCCAGCAACTACAACTCCTAAATGTCAAGATTCTATTTTCCCTAAACTCCACCAGTGTTCACATTTGAGCATATTGAGTATTCGTGAAGAGTTTGATCCAAAACCATCATTGTTTGTGTCCACAGTATTCTCTGGATGTAGGTGAACTACAACTCCCAAACTCAACATCAATGCCCACCAAACACTTCTAGTGTTTTCTGTTGGTTATGGGAGTTCTGTGTGTCAAGTTTGGTTCGATTCCATCGTTGGTGGAGTTCAGAATGCTCTTTGATTTTAGGTGAACTATAAATCCCAGTAACTACAACTCCCAAGTGACAAAATCAATTTTTTTTGAGTGAAAGACATAGATTGGGTTGTTAGGTGTCTTGTGGCCAAATTTGGTGTCAATTTGTCCAGTGGTTTTTGAGTTATATTAATCCCACAAACGAACATTACGTTTTTATTTATATAGATTATTATTGTTATTAATATGTGTATCTCACCTTTACCTTTTTATCAAAGAGACGCAAAACAGCTCACAATAAAAATGCTTTTTAAAGCATAAGCATATGTGAATATGAACAGCATTAAAAATAAGCATTTTAAATCCTTAAGACCTTTTAAAAATTACTGTTATCATTATTAGCCCTGAGTGGAATGTGGCACCACTCTTCCGGGTGAAATCCACAATTGATTCTAATTGTGAATGTTTTGAGTGGATTTAGAAGATGACTACTTTAATATTTCCCCCCTTATATTTTGGGCAGGAAATCCGGCGTTTGCACCAGTATGTGAAATTTGCTGTTCAGGATGTAAACGACGTTCTGGATTTGGAGTGGGACCGGCATCTGGAGCAGCAGAAGAAGCAGAAGTGAGTGGCCTCTGTTCAACCCTCCATTAATCATCCCTTGATGGCGTTAATAGGTTTATTTATCACAAATGTTATGTCCTTGTTATTTCTATTCACCGTCAAGAGATACTCTACTCTGGGGACACTCATTGTCCTCTTACCTTTCCCTTTTGTTGGAGAATCGTATTGAAAACTAGCCGTCCCCTGCCACACGGCACAGGCTCCACACACACAGGAGAGCTCCACGTGGCGGAGCCTGTGCCGGCAACGGCCTGGAGTCAGCCTTGGCTCTCTCCCTCCTTCTTCTCTCCCTTCCTTCTCTCTTCCCCCATTTTCTTCCTTCATGCTTTCCCTGCCTCCTCTCCTCCCTCCTTCTTTCCCTCATCCTCCCCTCTTTCCTCTTTCCTTTCCTCCCTCCCTTCTATCATTCCTCCTTCCCTTCTTCCTCCGTCTTCAGCTCTCCCCTTGGGTGCCGCCATCAAGGGGCTCCAGTACGGGGGACGAAGGAAGGAAGGAAGGAAGGGAGGGAGGGAGGGAGGGAGGGAGGGAGGGAGGGAGGAAGGGATGAGCCCAGTTCAGTTCCAGGTGAGCTGGACATCCAAGCAGCTCCCAAGGTCACATTTCCCCCAATTTCCACCAGAATTCACCTTTGGGCATATTGAGGATTCCTCCCAAGTTTGGTCCCGATCCATCTTTGTTTGGGTTCACAGTGCTCTCCGGATGAACAATTTCTCCTCCTCCTCATTCTCTCATCCACACCAACGCCCCCTTCCCTCCCTCCACCCTTTCCTTCCTTTCTGTACTTCCCTTCCTTCTCCTTCCTTTAATTCTTTCCCTTCTCCCTTCCCTCCTTCCTCCCTCCCTTTCCTTTTCTCCATTACTCCTTCCTCCCTTCCTCCCTTCCCTTCCTCCTTTTCTTTCCTTCCCTTTTCTCCCCCACCCCCCTCACCAGCTTCATCCTTCTTTATTAAATCTACACTTAGATGCACTCAAAGTCACCCCTTCCACACTGCCATGTAAAATCCAGATTATCTACTTAGGACTGGATTCTATGGCAGTGTAGACACACACACACAGATATGGATGGATACAGGATCACTGGTTGGTGGTATATATCTATATTCTGTCTGTCTGTCTGTCTATGTATGGATGTATGGATGTGTGTGTGTGTGTGTGTGTATATATATATATATATATATAATTACAATACTATATATATTACTATTATATATACTGCTATATAATATATAAATATTATATTATATATTATATATATTACTGTTATATCTATTACTATATAATATGTTACTACTATATGTTACTATATTAAATAGACTCCTAGAATAGAGTTAGAAGGGACTCTACCAAACAGGAGAGAAGTAGGGAGGGAAGGAAGGAGAGAAGGAAGGAAAGAAAGAGGTACCGAAGGAAGGAAGGAAGAAGATAAAGTAGAAAGGAAAGGCAGGAAAGAGGTAAAGAAGGAAGGAAGGGAAAAGAAAATAAAAAGTGAAAGAAGCAAGAAAACAGTGAAGGAAGACATGAGACAAAGGAAGAAGTAGAGAAAGGGGGAGGGAAGGAAGGAAGGAAAGAGAGGAGGAAGGATGAAACCAAAGGAATAAAGGAAAAAGGTAGAGAAGGAAGAAAGGAGAGAAAGGGGAAGGGGAAAAAAAAGAGGGGAAGGAATAGGTTTCATAATAGTCCAGATATCTACCTCTACTTCGAAAATTCTTACTATAGGCCACAGCAACGTGTGGCAGGGTACAGCTAGTTTTTATTTATATAGATTGTATTATTGTGTTAGATTGCTATATTATATTCTAATATTGTTATATTGTTATTATTGCTATTACTATTACACTATGTCACAAAATTTGAAAAATGTTCTGTTTCTGTATATATGTTTTTATATATGTGCGTTTACATATATATGTGTGTGTGGTTTTGTGCATGCGTTGTAATGTATTTTTTATTTTTTGACTTTTAAAGTCTTTTCTGCTGTGGTAGCTTCCTTCCTCCATCCCCTTTGTTTCCTGTCTCTCTTTCATGTTTCCTTCCTTCCTGCAGGCGCCTGGTTGTCCCTGAGCGGGAGACCCTCTTCAACGCCTTGACCAACAACCGGGAGATCATCAACCAGCAGCGGAAGCGGCTCCAGGGCCTGGTGGGGGGCCTCCAGGAGCTGCGCCTCTACAGCCACACCCCGGCCTGGTCGCGCCCGAGCTCCCATTCCCCAACCAGCAACATCCAGAGGTTGGTTGCCCAATGATATTACATTACATAACACCATTTGAAATGGGTTCTACTCCTGGTTAGGAAGTGTTCATAGAATCCTAGAGTTGGAAGAGACCTCATGGGCCATCCAGTCCAACCCCATTCTGCCAAGAAGCAGGAAAATTGCATTCAAAGCACCCCTGACAGATGGCCATCCAGCCTCTGTTTAAAAGCTTTCAAAGAAGGAGCCTCCATCACACTCCGGGACAGAGAGTTCCACTGCTGAACGGCTCTCACAGTCAGGAAGTTCTTCCTCATGCTCAGATGGAATCTCCTTTCTTGTAGCTTGAAGCCATTGTTTCGCGTCCTAGTCTCCAGGGAAGCAGTAAACAAGCTTGTTCCCTCCTCCCTGTGGCTTCTTCTCACATATTTATACATGCCTATCATGTCTCCTCTCAGCCTTCTCTTCTTCAGGCTAAACATGCCCAGCTCCTTAAGCCGCTCCTCATGGGGCTTGTTCTCCAGACCTTGATCATTTTAGTCGCCCTCCTCTGGACACATTCCAGCTTGTCAATATCTCTCTTGAATTGTGGTGCCCAGAATTGGACACAATATTCCAGGTGTGGTCTAACCAAAGCAGACTAGAGCATGGGGAGCATGACTTCCCTAGATCTAGACACTAGGCTCCTATTGATGCAGGCCAAAATCCCATTGGCTTTTTTTGCTGCCACATCACATTGTTGGCTCATGTTTAGCTTGTTGTCCACGAGGACTCCAAAATCTTTTTCACACGTACTGCTCTCGAGCCAGGCATCCTCCATTCTGTATCTTTGCATTTCTTTTTTTCTGCCAAAGTGGAGTATCTTGCATTTGTCCCTGTTGAACTTCATTTTGTTAGTTTTGGCCAATCATCTCTCTAATCTGTCAAGATCGTTTTGAATTCTGCTCCTGTCCTCTGGAGTATTGGCTATCCCTCCCAATTTGGTGTCGTCTGCAAACTTCAGTTTGTGGGTCCTTACTTTGAAAGTCTTGTTCCGCTCCAGAAACTCCGTTATTTTTATTAGATGATGATGATGATGATGATGATGATGATGATGATGATGATGATGATGATTATTTACGAGCTGTACCCAGCCACGCGTTGCTGTGGCCCAGTCTGGTGATCTGGAAAATAAAGAGAAAGTGTTGGTTTCTAATACATGTAATTTCTTTATACTTGAGTTGATGTAGAGATTGTCTGGTTGGCATACTCTGGAACATGCAACATATAATTGTCCTTGTTTAGGGGTCCCTTTCACATGCGTGAATAATATCTATCTATCTATCTATCTATCTATCTATGGCTGGATGGCTCTTTGTCAGGAGGGCTTTGATTATGTTTTCTTGCCTTGGTGAAGGGGGTTGGACTGGATGGTCTTAAGTATTTTCTTGGTCATGGCGGTTCTGTGTGGGTTGTTTGGCCCAATTCTATCATTGGTGGGGTTCAGAATGCTCTGTGATTATAGGTGAACTGTAAATCCCAGCAACTACAACTCCCAAATGTCAAGATTCTATTTTCCCCAAACTCCACCAGTGTTCACATTTGGGCTTATGGAACATTCATGCCAAGTTTGGTCCAGATCCATCATTGTTTGAGTCCACAGTGATCTCTGGATGTAGGTGAACTACAACTCCAAAACCAAAGAACACTGCCCACCAAACCCTTCCAGTATTTTCTGTTGGTCATGGGAGAACTGTGTGCCAAGTTTGGTTCAATTCCATCGTTGGTGGGGTACAGAATGCTCTTTGATTGTAGGTGAACTATAAATCCCAGCAACCCTTGTCTCTTGTATTTCCTCCCGGACTCAGCCTTGACAGCGAACTGGAGAGCTTGAGCAACGCCTTGACCAAAGCCACTCTGGATCCTTCCAGCAAAATGTCGCCTAAACCGGCTGGTAAGTCACATAACAACAACAACAATAGGTTTCTAACAGATTGTTTTTTAATACTGTTCATATTTAATTCCATTTTTATTATTTGTATATTAGGGTTTTAATTAGTGCCCCCTGGTGCTGCAGCAGGTAAAACTACTGAGCTGCAGAACTTGCTGACCAAAAGGTTGGCGGTTCAAATCCGGGGAGCGGTGTGAGCTCCCACTGTTAACCCCAGCTTCTGCCAACCTAGCAGTTCGAAAACATGCAAATGCCAGTAGACTAAGACATACTGCTTCTGCGGGAAGACAAGGGCACTCCATGCAGTCATGCCAGTGGCCACATGACCTTGGAGGTGTCTACGGACAACGCCAGCTCTTTGGCTTAGAAATTGCGTTGAGCATGGACACAACTGGACTTAATGTTAAGGGGGAACCTTTACCTTGGATTTTAATTGTATAGGTATTTTTTTTTATAGTGAGCCACTTTGAATCTCTTTTTTTTTTTAGAGAGAGAGAGAAAAAGGTGGGATATAAATAAAATAAATCCATTCATCCTTTTCTTTCCTGAGCCCCTCTCCTCGAGGCACAACTTAGTTGAAAAACACATTGTGAATATTTATTTATTTATGGCATTTATATGCCACCCCTCTCACCCCTTCTCAACCCTAAAATAATAATAATAATCATAATGCTAATAATATTGCCCACGGTGGTGCAGTGTGTTAAACAGCTTCTGCCAACCTAGAAGTTCAAAAACATGCAAATGTGAGTAGATCAATAGGTGCCACTCAGAGCAGTTTACAAGATATATATACATACAATATATAATATTATTAGCATAGTACAATATCAGTATTATTGTACTATACCATTATATTGTAACATTATTAGTAATATTACATGTAATATAAATATATAATTATATTATATTATTAGTAGTAGTATTTCTGTGAAATATATAGATTAAAATACGCCGAGCGAGACTGATAATGCATTTTCATGGCAAATAACCATGTTGTTTGTTGTCTACATGGCCCATCCTTCCTTTTTCTCTTTCAGCCAAACTGTCGCCGGTGAAGCAGATGCAACTGAGGAACTTCCTGTCGAAGCGGAAGGTGCCGCCCGTGCGGTCTACCGCGCCAGGTATCTTTTCCCAAAGCCTTAGGGAACATCCATTATTATTATTATCTTTATTATTGTATTGTTGAAGGCTTTCATGGCTGGAATCACTAGGTTCTTGTGGGGTTTTTTGGGCTATAGGGCCATGTTCTAGAGGCATTTCTCCTGACGTTTCGCCTGCATCTATGGCAAGCATCCTCAGAGATCTACAAACCCACCAAGAAAATCCAACAAATGCTATGTTCAGCAAAGGACAAGAGGGATCCTCTCACCTCTGCAGGAGTCTACCATATACCATGCAGCTTTGGACAAGTCTACATAGGGACCACCAAACGCAGCATTGCCCAGACACGCATCAAGGAACATGAAAGGCACTGCAGACTACTTCAACCAGAGAAGTCAGCCATAGCAGAGCACCTGATGAACCAGCCTGGACACAGCATATTATTTGAGAACACAGAAATGTTGGACCACTCCAACAACCACCATGTCAGACTACACAGAGAAGCCACTGAAATCCACAACTTCAACAGAAAGGTAGAAACCATAAAAATGAACAAAATCTGGCTACCAGTATTAAAAAGCTCTAAAATTACAACAGCAAAACAGCAGAGAGGAAACAACCAGGCACATCTTAACACCTCTCAACAAAAGAATTTCCCAGGCTCAGCCAGGCCTTCAAATGCTAATGAAGGTGGTCAGTTGAAACATAGCTCCAGCAGAGAAGAGCTCTTTGCCCCACCCCAGCCATTCCACAGATATATAAACCCATTGTCCTAATTCCAACAGACCTCACACCTCTGAGGATGCTTGCCATAGATGCAGGCGAAACGTCAGGAGAAATGCCTCTAGAACATGGCCCTATAGCCCGAAAAAACCCACAAGAACCTAATCATTATTATTATTTTAATGTAATTTTAATATTCCAGCTCATTGTTGCCGCTTATTAAGGGAAACAAAGAGAGATGTCCTTCAGAGAACTATACGCAGAGAACTATATGCAGTCTCTTAAGTTACAAACAAGATCGGTTCTGTAGGTTTGTTCTTAAGTTGAATCTGTATGTAAGTTGGAACAGGGACATTTCTTAACACCAGTATATATGTGCGTGCGTATGTGTGTTTATAAAATAATAATATACAAAAACCAATAGTATAGTATAATACAATAATAATCTATAGAAATAAAAATGTAATGTTCGTTTGTGGGATTAACACAACTAAAAAACCACTGGACGAATTGACACCAAATGTGGACACAAGACACCTAACAACCCAATGTATGTCCTTCACTCAAAAAAATTGATTTTGTCAATTGGGAGTTGTAGTTGCTGGGATTTATAGTTCACCTACAATCAAAGAGCATTCTGAACCCCACCAATGATGGAATCGAACCAAACTTGGCACAGAGCTTTCCCATGGCCAACAGAAAATATTGGAAGGGCTTGGTGGGCAGTGTCCTTTGGTTTTGGAGTTGTAGTTCACCTCCATCCAGAGATCACTGTGGACTCAAACAATGCTGGATCTGGACCAAACTCTACACGAATACTCAATATGCCCAAATGTAAACACTGGTGGAGTTTGGGGGAAATAGAATCTTAATATTTGGGAGTTGTAGTTGCTGGGATTTATAATTCACCTACTGTCAAAGAGCATTCTGATCCCCACCAACGATAGAATTGGGCCAGACCTTTGGGGAAAATAGAATCTTGACATTTGGGAGTTGTAGTTTATTTATTTATTTATTTATTTATTTACTACGCTTATATACCACAATTCTCAGCCTACTGGCGACTCATTGCGGTGTACAACATGAAAAGGTGCAAAAAACAACATACAATAAAATCCACAATACATAATTATCAACATCATCAAAACATCATCAAAACACGATCCTTACTACAAGATCATTCCGAGTCGTCTCATCGTCAAATTCACAATCCGATACCATTTCCGTAGTTCCATTCTTGTGGTCAAGGTTACCAGTCATAGCACATCTATTCAAAAGCCTTCTTAAACAGCCAGGTCTTCAGCTTCCTGCGGAAGATCAACAGGGAGGGGGCTAACCTGATGTCTACCGGAAGGGTGTTCCACAGCCGAGGAGCCACCACCGAGAAGGCCCTATCTCTCGTCCCCGCCAGCCGTGTTTGAGATGCAGGCGGGATCGAGAGCAGGGCCTCCCCGGAAGATCTCAAAGTCCTCGTGGGCTCATAGGCCGAGAGGCGGTTAGTTAGGTATCTTGGTTAGGTAGTTGCTGGGATTTATAGTTCACCTACAATCACAGAGCATTCTGAACCCCACCAACAATGGAATTGGGCCAAACCTCCCACACAGAACCCCTATGTGGGCCACAGCAATGCATAATGTAATGTTCGTTTGCGGGATTAACATAACTCAAAAATCACTGGACGAATTGACACCAAATTTGGACACAATAACCCTATCAGGCCAACGAGTGACCACCACTCATAAAAACACTAAAAAACACAGTAGAAGAGACTTAAATAGCCAAAAAACAAAAAATACATTTCAACGCATGCGCAAAACCTCATATATACATGCAAACACACACATATACACATATACACAAACATATACACACACTAAACACATATACACAGACTCGACCACAGCAACGCGTTTCAGTGGGTGGCTAGTAGTAATATATAATACTAATATTGCACTATGCTAATAATATAATGTACATACATATCATATTGATAATAATATAATGTCATACAATATAATACTAATAATACATTTTTGTTTGTCAGCGATTTGCAATAAAACATTATAATATATAGTAATAGTGTATTATAGTAATACTAATATATTAAATATAATTACTACTGATAATATCTAATAATATATAATGATATACCATTTTATTATTGTATAACAACCCAATGTATGTCCTTCACTCAAAAAAAAAAGATTATTACTACTGATAATATCTAATAATATATAATGATATACCGTTTTATTATTGTATAACAACCCAATGTATGTCCTTCATTAAAAAAAAAAGATTATTACTACTGATAATATCTAATAATATATAATGATATACCATTTTATTATTGTATAACAACGCAATGTATGTCCTTCACTCAAAAAATTGATTTTGTCATTTGGGAATTGTAGTTGCTGGGATTTGTAGTTCACCTACAATCACAGAGCATTCTGAACCCCACCAACGATCGAATTGGGCCAAACCTCCCACACAGAACCCCCATTACCACCAGAGTGGGCCACAGCAACGCGTGGCAGGGGACGGCTAGTAGTAGTAGTAGTAATAATAATAATAATAATAATAATAATAATAATAATAATGTGATTTTCAGATACGAAATCCAGCATATAGATCTCGTTTGCTGTGACATACTGTGCTTTTGTGTCAGTAAAATAATAAAGCTAATAATATTGCCCCCGGTGGCGCAGTGGGTTAAACCGCTGAGCTGCAGAACTTGCTGACTCAAAGGTCAGCAGTTCGAATCCGGGGAGCGGAGTGAACTCCCCCTGTTAGGCCCAGCTTCTGCCAACCTAGAAGTCCGAAAACATGCAAATGTGAGTAGATCAATAGGTGTCACTTCATGCTGGCCACTTCATGCTGGCCACATGACCTTGCAGGTGTCTATGGACAGCGCCGGCTCTTTGGCTTAGAAATGGAGATGAGCACCAACCCCTAGAGTTGGATATGACTGGACTTAATATCAGGGGAAAACCTTTATTTTAATATATAAGATTTCTCTCACTTCCTGTTGTCTCAGCCCCGTTCTTAACTAGGAGTCGTATGTAATCGCATCTTTGTAACTTGAGGATGGCCTGGACTAGCACGGCTTCTTGGTTTGCAGAATACTTTGGGATTTGCGGAATGCTCTCTGCCTGCTGATCCCGCTCTGCCCTTTCCCCACAGCCAGCCTCTCCCAGTCGGCCTTCCTCTCCTTGAGGTTCGGGGACGACTTGGACGAGGTCAGCTCCACGTCTTCGGCCGCCGCCTCCCTCGAGAACGAGGAGCTCCGGGTCGGGGTGCGCGAAGAGGAAGAGGGAGAGGAAGAAGCGGAGGAGCCGGTCGCCCCCCTCCAGGCAGCCCCCCGCCACGCCCCCGTGGTCCGCACCCCCTCCGTCCAGCCCGGCCTCATGCCCCAGCCCATGCCCCTTGGCAAACCACAGATCCCGGCCGGTGCTTTGGGTGAGTAGTTGGCTCCTCGGTGGGGCTCACGGGATGCCTTTCTTGGAGTCGAGCCTAAATTTGGAGGGGCACCCAAAGGCCATCCAGTCCAACCACATTCTGCCACAAAGCGAAGGCACAATCCAACCCCTCCTGGCAGATAGCCATCCAGCCATGTATATGTTTGAGAAAGAGATATTACGATAGATAGATAGATAGATAGATAGATAGATAGATAGATAGATAGATAGATATGTATATCATAGAATCCTAAAGTTGGAAGGGACATCAAAGGCCACCCAGTCCAGCCCCATTCTGCCACAAAGGGAAGGCAGAATCCAATCCCTCCTGAAAGATGGACATACAGTCATAGATATAATGATTGAGAGACAGGTATGACAGATATATCATAGAATCCCAAAGTGGGAAGGGATATGATCTCCACATGCTATCCAGTCCAACCCCATTCTGCCACAAAGGAAAGGCACAATCTAACCCCTCCTGGCAGATGGCCATCCAGCCATAGATATAGAGAGATATAATGATTGAGAGATAGGTATGACAGATATTTCATAGAATCCCAAAGTGGGAAGGGATCTCCAAATGCCATCCAGTCCAATCCCATTCTGCCACAAAGGGAAGACACAATCAAACCCCTCCAGGCAGATGGCCATCCAGCCATATATATGTTTGAGAGAGAAATATTACAATTGATAGATATCTATGTATATCATAGAATCTTAAAGTTGGAAGGGACCCCAAAGGCCATCCAGTCCAACCCCATTCTGCCACAAAGGGAGGGCACAATCCAATCCCTCCCTACAGATGGCCATCCAGTCATAGAAAAGATTGAGAGAGATATATAATGATTGAGATAGATCTATGAAAGGTATATCATCAAATCCTAAAGTTGGAAGGGATCTCCAAATGCCATCCAGTCCAGCCCCCTTCTGCCATAAAGGCACAATCCAACCCCTCCTGACAGATGACCATCCAGCCATATATACAATCAAAGATGGCCATCTAGTCTGTAATAGAATCCTAAAGGTGGAAGGGACACCCAAATGCAATCCAGTTCAACCCCATTCTGCCTTAAAGAAAAAGCACAATCCAACCCCTCCGACAGATGACCATCCAGCCATAGATATGATTGAGAGAGATATATAACTATATATGTGTATATATATATGTATGTATGTATGTATGAATGGTGTGTCATAGAATCCTAAAGTTGGAAAGGATCCCCAAATGCCATCCAATCCAGCCCCCTTCTGCCATAAAGAAAAGGCACAATCCTCCCAACAGATGATCATCCACAAGAGACTCCTAGCATGGGGAAGCATCCTCCGATTTCTCTTGACAGACGGCCAAACAGACCCTGTATTTCCCTTGCAGCCTCCACCCCCAAAGGCCTCCTGCCGCAAGGGGCCGATAGCACTATGTTGGCCACCAAGACGGTGAAGCATGGCGCCCCACTTCCCTCCGGCTCTCTCCCCGCTCCACAGGCAGCGGCTGAAGCAGCACTCCGCAGGCAGATGGCCAGCCAGGGACCAGGTAAGGATTCTCTTGTTATCACAGTTATTGTTGTTGTTGACCAGGTAGGGATTCTCTTATTATTGCTGTTGTTGTTGTTGACCAGGTAAGGATTCTCTTATTACTGTTGTTGTTGTTGACCAGGTAGGGATTCTCTTATTACTATTGTTATTGTTGTTGTTGACCAGGTGTCGATTTTCTTATTATTACTGTTGTTGTTGTTGACCGGGTAGGGATTATCTTACTACTGTTGTTGTTGTTGTTGTTGACCAGGTAGGAATTCCCTTACTACTATTGTTATTATTGTTGTTGACTAGGTAGGGATTCTCTTATTACTATTGTTATTATTGTTGTTGACCAGATGGGGATTTTTTTATTATTAGTGTTGTTGTTGTTGTTGACGAGGTAGGGATTGTCTTATTACTATTGTTATTGTTGTTGACCAGGTAGAGATTATCTTATTATTACTGTTGTTGTTGTTGTTGACCAGGTAGAGGAATTACCTTATTACTATTGTTATTGTTGTTGTTGACCGGGTAGGGATGATCTTCTTCTTCTTCTTCTTCTTCTTCTTCTTCTTCTTCTTCTTCTTCTTCTTCTTCTTCTTCTTCTTCTTCTTCTTCTTCTTCCTCCTCCTCCTCCTCCTCCTCCTCCTCCTCCTCCTCCTCCTCCTTCTCCTTGTTGCTGTTGCTGTTGCTGTTGTTGTTGACCAGGTAGGGATTATCTTATTATTACTGTTGTTGTTGTTGTTGACCGGGTAGGGATGATCTTCCTCCTCCTCCTCCTCCTCCTCCTCCTCCTCTTCTTCTTCTTCTTCTTCTTCTTCTTCTTCTTCTTCTTCTTCTTAGCAGGCCCTTCTTCTTCTTCCTCTTCCTCTTCCTCTTCCTCTTCTTCTTCCTCCTTGTTGACCAGGTAGGGATTCTCTTATTATTAGTGTTGTTATTGATCAGGTATGGATTCTCTGATTATTATAGTTGTTATTGTTGTTGTTGACCAGGTGGGGATTCTCTTATTATTACTATTGTTATTACTGTTGTTGACCAGGTAGCGATCCTATTATTATTATTATTATTATTATTATTATTATTATTAATGTTGTTGTTGTTGTTGTTGTTGACCAGGTAGGAATTCTCTTATTACTATGTAATCGTTGTTGTTGACCAGGTAGGGATTCTCTTATTATTACTGTAGTTTGAAATTACTTCCCAGAATCCCGTCTCTTTTGGCCCCCGACTCTCATGCTACATTTGTTTTGTAGCCGCCGGCACTTCATTGACCGAATCGACGCTGAAGAACGTCCCGCAGGTGGTCAACGTGCGAGAGCTCAGGAACAACTCCGCTCCGCCGGCCATCGCAGCCGTCCTCGGGTGAGCAAACACTTCGTGAAACCAGATTATTATTATCGTATGCTTGCTTGGAGTCCAAAGGAGATTTAAAAATATATTATTATTATTATTATTATTATTATTATTATTATTATTACACAACAAGATTATTCCACAGCAAACAAGATCACTCTTCTGGCTTTTGTATTGAATCACACATCGAACCCTTCCCAAGGGTCTAGGATTGTGTGATGTATTAGCGAATAACGCAGGCAGGTCCAAGTAAGGTGGCCTTTTGCATCTGTGAGGTGATAATTTTGTCTGCGGTGATTGTTTTTAAGTGCAGGCCAAGGTCTTGAGGAACTGCACCCAGTGTGCCAATCACTACTGGGACCCCCTTGACTGGCTTGTGCCAGAGTCTTTGCAGTTCGATCTTTAAATCAAATTAAATAAATAAATTTATTTATTTACATTTAATTTAAATATATTTAATTATTTACTTTAAATAATAATAATAATAATAATAATAATAATAATAATAATAATAATTATTATTATTATTATTATTATGAAGGACCAAATGGCTTCCTTATGGAGAGATCAGAAAATAATTATAGCTGGTGACCTATTGCTTCCATCTTTGAAAGTCACGGCCTTGGCTTCCCCTCAAGGGCATCATCTCCCTGCGTCACAACAAGAGACTCCTCTTGTCCCACCAGTGTTGATTCTGTGTGCTGTTTCCCAGATAAAGAGAGTGTTGCTGAGCAAAACAAACCTGTTAGTGGCCGGTCACTTTACCCTGGAGGCTGTCTGCAGGCAGAGGAGGCTCAAGGCCTTGCAAAACTATATCCTTTCATTGCTCCATAGCATTGAACCAAGTTGACTGAAGTTCATTAGTGCATAACATATAAATGCAGTGTGCCCTGGACTCAAGTCAAGACAGTATGAGTCCCTGTGACACCTTTGCTGGCTCTTATGGATTCCTTGCTGTTGTTGCTTTCACAAGGTCTTGGTTTGGCCCTGAAAGTCATGCCTTTTCTTGCTGTCCTTCCCACAGCTCCTCGGTGCCACAGTCGGCCGCACAAGCCGTCCACCAAGTCCTGGCCACGGTGGCCACTGGTCAAGGCAGCCAGGTATCAGACATCCCTAAAGCATGCTCTCCTTCCTTTTCCTCCTGTCCATATCGATCTATCTAAAATTATCAAGGGTCTAGAGAACAAGCCCTATGAGGAGCGGCTTAAAGAGCTGTGCATGTTTAGCCTGAAAAAGATAAGGCTAAGAGGAGACATGACAGCCATGTATAAATATGTGAGAGGAAGTCATAGGGAGGAGGGGGCCAGCTTCCTTTCTGCTGCCCTGGAGACTAGGACGCAATGGAGCAATGGCTTCAAATTACAAGAAAGGAGATTCCATCTGAACATTAGGAAGAACTTGCTGATTGTGAGAGCTGTTCAGCAGTGGAACTCTCTGCCCTGGAGTGTGGTGGAGGCTCCTTCTTTGGAGGCTTTTCAATAGAGGTTGGATGGCCATCTGTCAGGGGTGCTTTGAATGCGATTGTCCTGCTTCTTGGCAGGGGGTTGGACTGGATGGCCCATGAGGTCTCTTCCAACTCTATGATTCTATCTATCTATCTATCTATCTATCTATCTATCTATCTATCTATCTATCTGTATATACACATACATACAGGCTGTCCCTGAGTTACAAACATCAGACTTACAGATGACTCCTAGTTAAGAGCAATGGGGCTGAGACCACAGGAAGTGAGAGGAATATGATATTATAATACAAGTATTTCAAATGACTCAATAGTTAAGAACGGAACTGAGACAACAGGGAGAGGAATCTTATACATTATTAGTATTATTATTATTATAGTATATTAATTTACTGTTAATATAACAATATATAATTATAATATAATATAATATAATATAATATATATTATAAAGTAATATATATAAAGAAAAATGTAATGGATCTAGACCAAACTCTACACCAGTGGTTCTCAACCTGGGGTCCCCAGATGTTTTTGGCCTTCAACTCCCAGAAATCCTAACAGCCGGTAAACTGGCTGGGATTTCTGGGAGTTGTAGGCCAAAAACATCTGGGGACCCCAGGTTGAGAACCACTACTCTACACAAATACTCAATATGCCCAAATGTGAACACTGGTGGAGTTTAGGGAAAATAGAATCTTGACATTGGAGAGTTGTAGTTGCTGGGATTTATAGTTCACCTATATCAAAGAGCATTCTGAACCCCACCAACGATGGAATTGAACCAAACTTGGCACACCGTTCTACCATCACCAACAGAAAATACTGGAAGGGTTTGGTGGGCAGTGTCCTTTGGTTTTGGAGTTGTAGTTCACCTACATCCAGAGATCACTGTGGACTCAAACAATGATGGATCTGGACCAAACTCTACAAGAATACTCAATATGCCCAAATGTGAACACTGGTGGAGTTTGGGGAAAATAGACTCTTGACATTTGGGAGTTGTAGTTGCTGGGATTTATAGTTCACCTACAATCACAGAGCATTCTGTACCCCACTAACGAAACCATTGGGCCAAACCTCCCACACAGTACCCCCATGTGGGCCACAGCAACGCGTGGCAGGGGACGGCTATTATATAAATAAAAATGTAATGTTCGTTTGTGGGATTAACATAACTCAAAAAAACACTGGACCAATTGACACCAAATTTGGACACAAGACATTTATCAGGCCAACGAGTGACCATCACTCATAAAAATACTGAAAAACACAGCAAAAGGGACTTAAAAAGCCAAAATTATTTTTTTTTAAACTTACAATGCATGCGCAAAACTACATATATACACATATATATGCACACAAAACACATACACACAGACTGAGCCACAGCAACTCGTGGCAGAGGGATGGCTATTATATCTATAAAAATAAAAATGTAATGTTCGTTTGTGGGATTAACATAACTCAAAAACCACTGGACGAATTGACACCAAATTTGGACACAAGACACCTATCAGGCCAACGAGTGACCATCGCTCAGAAAACATAGCAGAAGAGACTTAAAAAGCCAAAATACATTACAATGCATGCGCAAAATCGCATATATACACAAACATATATACACATATATACAAACGTGTTTGTGAGAGAGAGACAGATGGATACAGAGATAGATAGAAAAAGAGATAGAGACATAAAGATAGAGACAGACATCTATGTATATATGTGTGTGTGAGAGAGAGAGAAACAGATAGATAGATAGAGAGATAGAGAGAGACAGATAGATAAAGATAGAGACAGGTAGACATCTATATAGAGAGAGAGAGAGATAAAGAGATAGATACAGAAAGATAAAGATACAGACATCTAGATGTAGAGAGAGAGAGAGAAAGAAATAGAGATAGAGACAGAAAGACATCTCTCTATATATAGAGAGACAGACAGATAGATACATAGAAAAAGAGATAGAGACAACTAAAAATATAGACAGCCATATATAGAGAGAGAAGAGAGAGAGAGAGACAGATAAAGATAGAGAAAGACAGACATATCTCTATCTATATAAATAAAAATGTAATGTTCGTTTGTGGGATTAACACAACTCAAAAACCACTGGACGAATTGACACCAAATTTGGACACAAGACACCTAACAACCCAATGCATCCCCTTCGCTTAAAAATTTTGATTTTGTCATTTGGGAGTTGTTGTTGTTGCTGGGATTTATAGTTCACCTACAATCAAAGAGTATTCTGAACTCCCCCAATTATGGTATTGAACCAATCTTGGGACACAGAACTCCCATGACCAACAGAAAATACTAGAAGAGATTGGTGAGCACTGACCTTGAGTTTGGCAGTTGTAGTTCACCTACATCCAGAGAGTACCATGGACTCAAACAATGATGGATCTGGACCAAACTCTACACGAATACTCAATATGCCCAAATGTGAACACTGGTGGAGTTTGGGGAAAATAGAATCTTGACATTGGAGAGTTGTAGTTGCTGGGATTTATAGTTCACCTACAAACACAGAGCATTCTGAACCCCACCAACGATAGAATTGGGCCAAACCTCCCACACAGAACCCCCATGTGGGCCACAGCAATGCGTGGCAGGGGATGGCTTGTGTGTGTGTGTGTGTGTATATATATATATATATATATATGAGAGAGAGAAACAGATACAGACATAGATGGATGGATGGATAGAAAAAGAGATAGAGACAGATAAAGATATAGACAGATATCAGACATCTATTTAGAGAGAAAGAGAGAGAGACAGATAGATACAGAGATAGATAGATAGATAGATAGATAGATAGATAGATAGATAGATAGATATAGGTAGGTAGGTAGGTAGGTAGGTAGGTAGGTAGGTGGGTGGGTGGATGGATGGATGGATGGATGGATGGATGGATGGATGGATGGATGGATGGATGGATGGATGGATGAACAAATTTTGTTCATTACATGAGGTCTGCCTGTATATTCTATTTCCAAACTGTGTAGCTGAAGGATCAGGGAACCCATGGCTCTCCCATTGGGCTCTGCTTTTGCTCTCTCTTTTCCTCTGCTGCTCTTCCTGTCTTTCTTCCTTCCTTCCCTATCAGTGTTTTGTCTCCCGTTCAAACACAGTTTTGTGGCAGGGTTCTCGCCAAGGCTTCCCTTTCCTGATAACGGTCTCCTTCCTGAAGGTTAAGCCTCAACAAACAAAGAGAGAAGGCCCTTGGAGGATTTCTTCTTTCTTTCTTTCTTTCTTTCTTTCTTTCTTTCTTTCTTTCTTTCTTTCTTTTCCCTTTTTTCTCACAAAAACACACTCATCTCAGTCATGAACCTGACCCTTCCAAGTCCCCGAATCAACACAATTTCGGGTTGTTAATGAATAATCATGCCTTTAATAACAGTGCTAGAAAGACCAATACATTTGAGACACAGGGTAATAAATTATTATTATTTGAAACACAACAAGATGAGTCCACAGCAGACAATATCACTCTGCTGGCTGTTGAATTGGATCACACGCTGCACACTTTCCAAGTGTCTAGGACTGTGTGATGTATCGGCGAATAATGTGTGCAGATCCCAGTAAGGTGGCCTTCTGAAGCTGGCAGATGGTAATCTTATCAGCGCCGATTGTGTTTAAGTGCAGGCCAAGGTCTTTAGGCACTGCACCCAATGTGCTGATCACCACTGGGACCACCTTGACTGGCTTGTGCCAGAGTCTTTTATATTATTATTATCATTATTATTATTATTATTATTATTATTATTATTATTATTATTATTCCTTAATAGGGGAAAATATTAATATCAATTTTTAATGGACCCTCATATGTTCCAAAGACTCCCTGCGCCATGTAAGGTTGCAACCATGTCTTTTCTGTTGGTTGCTATGAATAGACTTTTTAATTGGTTTTAATAATCATACATAACATTTTTTATTGGTTTTAAGACTTTTCCTCCTCCTCTTCCCTTCTTCTTCTCTTCATCTCCTTCTCTCCTCCTCCTCTTCTTCTTTTTCTCTTCTACTTCTCTTTTCTTCTTCTTCTTCTTCTTCTTGTATGTATTTTATCTTTTACAATTTAGCTGTAAATCGCCTAGAGCATTCTCAGATGGAGGGCGATTAATAACTAATTAAATATGATGATATGATTATGATGATTGTTCTTCTCCTTATTTTTTTGTCTTCTCCTCCTCCTCCTTCTCTTCTCCTCTCCTCCTCCTCTGGTTTTCTTCATCTTCTTCTCTCCTCCTCCTCCTCTTCCTCTTCCTCTTCTTCTTTCTCTTCTTTTTCTTCTCTTCCTCTCTTCTTCCTCTCCTCCTCCTCCTCCTCTTCTCTTGCTCTCCTCCTCCTCTTCTTCTTCTCTTCCTCTTTTCTTCCTTTCTCCTTCTCGTCTTCTCTTCTTCTTCTCCTTTCTTCTCTTCTTATTCTTCTCCTCTGCCTCTTCTTCTTCCTTTCCTCTTCCTCTCCTCCTCCTCTTCTTTCCTTTCTCCTCTTTTTCTTCTCCTCTTCCTCCTCCTCCTCTTCTGTTCTACTTCTCCTCCTCCTCCTCTTCTTCTTCCCTTCCTCCTCTCCTCCTCCTCCTCCTCCTCCTTATGACCACCCCATCCATGAGAACCTTTTGGGAAGCCATGAGTGATGTAACCCTCAAGGCATGACTAGATGGCCTTTGGAGTCCCTTCCAGATGCATCTGTGTTGTTTTGCTCCTCTTCCTGGTTCTTGATGGGTTGTTTCTCCCTTTACGTTCCAGGGGCCTCTTCCTGGCGGTTCCCTCAAAGTGCAGCCTCCTCCCAGTTCGGCTTCTCCAGGCGCCGCCGTGACCTCCACTGGTCAAACTGGGAAGAAGAATGCAGGTCAGTTCAGACCGCTATATATATATGTACCAAGTACAATTTGTTCTCTATAGGACGAAGAAAAGAAAAGTGAGATGTATATACACTAGGCATCGTGGGTTAGACATTTGTCAATTTGCAATATTATTTCTTTGGGGAAAAAAAGTCCATTCTTTTTGGATTTTATCAATGGTCCCACTAAGGATGTGGGTGGACTACAACTCACATCATGCCAGATTAATCCCCCTCAAACCCCACAAGTAATCAAAGTTGGTCACGTTAGGTATATATGCCAAGTTTGGTACAAATCCGTCATAGGTGGGACACTTGATGTGGGTTAACAATATCTCCCATCATCCAGGGTCACTACAACTCCCGTCAGACAACCATATATGAGCAAATTCATGAGGGGGGGTTCTGTGTAATAAATCAACAGATACCTATACTATAAGTTGTTCTATACTATATCAATATACTTACACGGGATGGTCTGTGTGCCATATTTGGTCCAGACTCGTTGTTGGGGGAATAACAGCTCTCTGGAAGTTGGAGCCATTTTGGAAAATTCATACAAACATAGATATGTACATACATATAATAATAATAATAATAATAATAATAATAATAATAATAATAATAATAACTTCATTTATACCCCACCACCATCTCCCAGAGGGGACTCGGAGCGGCTTACATGAGGCCAAGCCCGACAACACATCAATAAAACAAAAAGCAATAAGCAAATAAAACAATACAATTAATATAAATCACCTATAAACAATAACGTGCAAGGATTTAAAAACCTATGGCTGGGCCAAATGTAATAGTTTAAAATTTAAAAAATAAACGCTGAGCATGAACAGAGGTAGGATGTTTCTGGTAAGAGGGTTTTAAAAGAAATAAAGGGAGAGTATAGATATATATACTCTCTCTCTCTTTATATATATATATATATATATATACATACACACATACACATATATATTCTTACAATCATAGATGCATACAAACATTTCAATACATATTCATATAAACAGATGCACACAAACACACACACACACATATATATTCTCTTCCAATCATAGATACATATATGGATATGGATAGATAGATAGATATAATGTTTGTATCTATGTTTGTATGAATATATAGATATATATACTCTCTTTCTCTCTCTCTCTCTATATATATATATACATATATATTCTTACAATATTTGGATGAATGTTTGGAAAATTCATATAAACAAATACTGATACATACAAACAGTATAGTGTTTGTATGTATCAGTATTTGTTTGTATGAATTTTCCAAACATTCATCCAAATATTCTTACAAACAAGATACATACAAATTATACATTTTTTCTTCGTGGTCTCTGTGAAATTGCACATATGGTGTTTCCTGCACCTGTGCAGTATAGGCAGAATCTTCTAGAAAGCTTTAGACACATTTAGACAATAGCCCTGCCTATGTGTATCTGCTGGTTTATATGCATTTTCCAACTTCCAGATACATACAATAGATACAAACATATGTATATATATATAAAATTTGTGTGTTTGATATATATATATATATACTCATACATACATACATATGCAAACAAACATAGATATAAACAAACATCTCTGTGTGTGTGTGTATTCATACACACATACAAACAAACACATATCCATTATATGCATATAATGCCTTTGAGAAGGGAATGCAAGTTGTGAAATTGTCCTTAGATTGCCCTGCCTCCGCCAGCTTTGTGTTGTACTTCCAATAACATTGTGTACCATGATTTTTGTTTCTGGATTAAAACCGTCCTCTCCCTAATTGGTTCTAGCATATAAACATGGGGAAAGTTGATTAAATTGCAAAAACTTCATTTTTGTGGGACGTCTTGCAGCATATTTTGCTCTAGTTTTCCAATGAATATCTCATCATCGAGTCTCAACCAGTTCAGTCACAGAAACAACAAAGTTTCTTGACTAGGACAACTACTTTCAATGAATTAAATAGTATTAATACTTTCAAACTAGGAATAGGACAATTTTCAAACTGTGTCGCATAGTGTAACCCTCTGCTGTTCTTGCAGTACCCGTATCAGGGCCCGCGAAGCCCGTGGTTGCTGCCGTCTCCTCGTCTTCAGCGCCGCCGGTCCCGTCCACAGCTGCCCAGTTCAACAAGCTGTTCACCTTCGCCTCCTCCTCCTCTGGGTCAGTACTTTCACCCCTTCATCAGGGTTTCCTTCCTTCCTTCCCAGCTCTCCTGTATGTGTGCCATATTGTTGTGGGTTTTTTTTTTTTTTTGGTTTTTTTTTTTGTCGTGTCAGGAGTGTTTTGAGAAACTGCAAGTCACTTCTGGTGTGAGATAATTGGCCGTCTGCAAGGACATTGCCCAGGGGACGCCCAGATGTTTTGATGTTTTATCATCCTTGTGGGAGGCTTCTCTCATGTCCCCGCATGAGGAGCTGGAGCTGATAGAGGGAGCTCATCTGCGCTCTCCCTGGATTCGAACCTGTCGGTCTTCAGTTCTGCCGGCACAGGGGTTTAACCCACTGCACCACCGGGGGCTCCATTGTTGTGGCCGATATCAATGTAAATGGGGAAGTGGATCATGGGAACTCTTGGCCTGCGAGCCAACATGAGATTTTAACCCTGAAAATGATCAGTCTGTGTCTCCAGCAGTTAGTGACGGTCACATTCCAGAGTGTTATAGAGATGGTGCAGAAGAGTCATTCTCTAGGGAAACGAGTTTAGAGGCAGAAATCCCAGCTGGAGAGAATAATGAGTTGCAATATAATGAGCTGATAGATAGAAGACTCAGTTTTCATAAACTTTGTGCTGCTCAAATTTCTGAAGGTCACGTGCTTGTTAGAGAAGAGACCCATATCAGGAAATCATGGGAGGAGGCATGATTTCATGTGTATATTAGAGAGGCAGGGGAATTTTCCAGCCTGTCTGGTTGTTATAAACTCCAAATGTGAACCCAAATGGTTCCTTTTGTTTTGATGCAGAATGTTGAAGAAATAACAAGCCAACTTAGATCAATGAAACACCTTAGAGACCAAATTTGGTTTTGCCACTTTTCGTGTAACATTTATTAAATACAATCACCTTAAATTCACATCAGAATCACATCAAGAGAGAGCTCTCATTCATTCATCCCAAGCATTCAAACATACCCACACAGGCATCCCTGAATGAAGATGACCAGCCATCTTCGAGAGGATTGGATGTTCCATTGTTGTGGTTCAGGAAACGTGCTTAATTTTGGGGTCCCCTGCATTTTATAGCTCAAAGTCAGTCTTTTCTTTTTAATGAACATGTTGTACTGTTCTTATAGTTTCAAGATATCCACATTCCAGGCCAATTTGAAGGATTGTTTCTGGATTTTTGTATTGGAGTCTATGCTGCCTCTTACTTCCTGGTTTTCTTCTATTCCTGTGTAGGCTGTCCTGTTGCTTTGGGATTTTGAGTTATAGTGTTCCCTCACTTATTGCGGGTGTTTCTTTATTTATTTAGAGTTTTTATACCCCGGTCTTCTCACCTCCGGGGAGGGACTCAGGCCGGCTAACAACATAAAATTCAATACAATAAGAAAAACATTATAGGTCATCAATATAAAATACATTAAAATACACTTCATATAATTCATACAAATTACAGCAAAAATCAGTTCGTCCAAAAGAATTACAAATTCATCGCCATCCGCCAGAAAGGTCAGCAGTTATTGACTCAGTCATCATTCTGCGAACACAGTATCCCAAAGCCATGTTTTTACCTGCTTTCTAAACATCAGGAGGGAAGAGGCAGATCTAATCTCCATCAGGAGGGAGTTTCAAAGCTGAGGGGCCACCACTGAAAAGGCCCTGTCCCTCATCCCCACCAAACGCGATTGCGAAGACGGTGAGACCAAGAGCAGGGTACCTCCAGAAGATCTTAACAACCTTGATGGTTCATAGGGGAGAATCCGTTCGGACAGATAAATTGGGACAGAGCCGTTTAGGGATTTATAGGTCAACACCAGCACTTTGAATTGTGCTCAGAAACTGATTGGCAGCCAGTGGAGCTGGCGCAACAGAGGAGTAGTATGTTCCCTGTACCCCGCTCCCGTTAGTAATCTGGCTGCTGCTCGTTGTACTAGTTGTAGCTTCCAGGCAGTCTTCAGAGGTAACCAGAGCATGTACCACTGTGGCCAAGTCAGACTTCCCAAGGTACGGGCGCAGCTGGCGCACAAGTTTTAATTGTGCAAAAGCTCCCCTGACCACCGCCGAGACCTTTTTGAAGCAATTTCAAGGAAACAGGAAGTCACTTTGCCCTTCCGAAGCTTTTCCCCCATTTCTCTTATGAATCAGTAAGTGAGTCAGAAATGATTCAGCTTTTCCCCCACTTCTGTTCCCTGGCCTCGGTTCAGGTTCAAGCCAGCGTGGATGGATTCCCTTCCTTTCCTTTCCCTCCCGCGTCAGTTTAAACCAGTGTGGACGGATTCTCTTCCTATCCTTTCCCTCCCGCGTCAGTTTAAACCAGTGTGGATGGATTCCCTTCCTTTCCTTTCCCTCCCGCACCAGTTTAAACCAGTGTGGATGGATTCCCTTTCCTTTCCCTCCCGTGTCAGTTTTAACCTGTGTGGATGGATTCCCTTCCTTTCCTTTCCCTCTCGGGTCAGTTTAAACCAGTGTGGAGATTTGTTTCCTTTCCTTTCTCCCACAAGAGTGAACGTCAGAGGTACGATACATTATATGTTTCTAGGTGTATTACTATTCATCTCAGTGAAAGTTCCTTTCCCTCCCGCATCAGTTTAAACCAGCGTGGATGAATTCCCTTCCTTTCCTTTCCTTCCGCTCCCGTGTCAGTTTAAACCAGTGTGGATGGATTCCCTTCCTTTCCTTTCCTTTCCCTCCTACAACAGTTTAAACCAGTGTGGATGGATTCCCTTCCTTTCCTTTCCTTTCCCTCCTACAACAGTTTAAACCAGTGTGGATGGATTCCCTTCCTTTCCTTTCCCTTCCACATCAGTTTAAACCAGTGTGGATGGATTCCCTTCCTTTCCTTTCCCTCCTGCGTCAGTTTAAACCAGTGTGGATGGATTCCCTTCCTTTCCTTTCCCTCCTGCGTCAGTTTAAACCAGTGTGGATGGATTCCCTTCCTTTCCTTTCCCTCCTGCGTCAGTTTAAACTAGTGTGATGGATTCCCTTCCTTTCCTTTCCCTCCCGTGTCAGTTTAAACCAGTGTGGATGGATTCCCTTCCTTTCCTTTTCCTCCTGCGTTAGTTTAAACCAGTGTGGATGAATTCCCTTCCTTTCCTTTTCTTTCGCTCCCGTGTCAGTTTAAACCAGTGTGGATGAATTCCCTTCCTTTCCTTTCCTTTCCCTCCCGCATCAGTTTAAACCAGCGTGGATGAATTCCCTTCCTTTCCTTTCCTTCCGCTCCCGTGTCAGTTTAAACCAGTGTGGATGGATTCCCTTCCTTTCCTTTCCTTTCCCTCCTACAACAGTTTAAACCAGTGTGGATGGATTCCCTTCCTTTCTTTCCTTTGAAATAGCTACAACTGGGGTTAAGACATGTGGATGGATTTCCCTTCCTTTCGCTTTCGCTTTCCTGCTCCTTAAACATTTAAACGCAGTGTTTGTTGGGATTCTCCTTCGCTTTCCTTCTTTTCCCTCTGCTACTATCACAGTTTAAATAACCGAGTGTGGATGGATCCTTCCTTTCCTTTCCTATTCTCTTTCGCGCTCCTAGTCTAACGTTTAAACTTGCATTTGTGGATGGATTCTCCGTTCAGGGAGGTCTCTTTTCCCTCCCGTGACATTTAAACGGCGTCGTGGTATGAATTTTCGGCCTTTGTCCTTTTCCTTTCCTTTCATTCCTACAGCAGTTTAAACGGCAGTGGTGGATTCGCATCCTTTGAGTTCGCTTTCGCCTCCTACTACAGTTTAACGGCAGTGTGGATAGGGAGTTCGCCCTTCCTTTCCTTTCCCTCCCGCGTCAGTTTAAACCAGTGTGGACGGATTCTCTTCCTATCCTTTCCCTCCCGCGTCAGTTTAAACCAGTGTGGATGGATTCCCTTCCTTTCCTTTCCCTCCCGCATCAGTTTAAACCAGTGTGGATGAATTCCCTTCCTTTCCTTTTCTTTCAAAATGGTTTAAAATATCTTAAAATTTAGAAATCAGTAGGATTAATACAATAATAGGAGCCCTTCAAGCCAGAGAATCGTTCTAAATCAGTGTGGATGGATTCCCTTCCTTTCCTTTCCCTCCTGTGAGAGAAGTGGTTTAAACCAGTGTGGATGGATTCCCTTCCTTTCCTGTCCCTCCTGCATCAGTTTAAACCAGTGTGGATAGATTCCCTTTCTTTCCTTTCCCTCCCGGGAGAGAAGTGGTTTTAACCAGTGTGGATGGATTCCCTTTCTTTCCTTTCCCTCCCGGGAGAGAAGTGGTTTTAACCAGTGTGGATGGATTCCCTTCCTTTCCTTTCCCTCCCGTACAACAGTTTAAACCAGTGTGGATGGATTCCCTTCCTTTCCTTTCCTTTCCCTCCTACAACAGTTTAAACCAGTGTGGATGGATTCCCTTCCTTTCCTTTCCCTCCCGCGTCAGTTTAAACCAGTGTGGACGGATTCTCTTCCTTTCCTTTCCCTCCCGCGTCAGTTTAAACCAGTGTGGATGGATTCTCTTCCTATCCTTTCCCTCCCGCAGTTTAAACCAGTGTGGATGGATTCCCTTCCTTTCCTTTCCTTTCCCTCCCGTGACAGTTTAAACCAGCGTGGATGAATTCCCTTCCTTTCCTTTCCTTTCCCTCCTACAACAGTTTAAACCAGTGTGGATGGATTCCCTTCCTTTCCTTTCCTTTCCCTCCTACAACAGTTTAAACCAGTGTGGATGGATTCCCTTCCTTTCCTTTCCTTTCCCTCCTACAACAGTTTAAACCAGTGTGGATGGATTCCCTTCCTTTCCTTTCCTTTCCCTCCTACAACAGTTTAAACCAGTGTGGATGGATTCCCTTCCTTTCCTTTCCTTTCCCTCCTACAACAGTTTAAACCAGTGTGGATGGATTCCCTTCCTTTCCTTTCCTTTCCCTCCTACAACAGTTTAAACCAGTGTGGATGGATTCCCTTCCTTTCCTTTCCTTTCCCTCCTACAACAGTTTAAACCAGTGTGGATGGATTCCCTTCCTTTCCTTTCCTTTCCCTCCCGTGTCAGTTTAAACCAGTGTGG